AGCTTCTCCTAAGTAATATTTAATATTCAGCCAGAAAGTTTTTGGATTCCAATATTAGTTATAAATAATTATAAATAATTTATGGCGAAAAACATTATACTAGAACTATGCGATGAATTTGACAAAGTTGACCAGAAAAATTTGATTTATATAGTCAAGATCAAAAATAGATAAAAAATTAATATTTTGTTCTTATCATGTAAAAAATAATAATGAAAAGATATAATAGTTTGGGAATACGATAGATTTGACTTAAATTTCTATTAAATAGGAAAATTTATGTATTCAATTTCTCCTTTCTTTTTTGTGCATATTCTTCTTCTTCTCACAGCTTTCACCAGTACTGGTTAGGCTGGCTCCAACGGCTACAAGGGTAAGACGCTTCCAAGCGGCTCGGTAATGGATGCCATCGTCGACAGTAATAGAAACCCTTCCTTTTTCCATCATCTAAGTTCATATTTTTGATCGTATCAGCCCGGGTCTTAATTGGCCCACTTCGCTTTTGACGCCATCCATCACACAGTTTAGCCCGTAATGAAATATGCGTCAACTCCAGTGATGGACGACGGAGAACGACCTAACCAGCGAAGGCGACGCTATGGGATTATTATTGCTAGTGGTATCTGAACGAAGATGGATGCGATCATGTGATATTTTATCCCTTCGACCCGTAAAATATACCTTAGACAAGAGTGGTCAAAGGCAGATCCACTCTCATTGGCTATGTCTCGAAGCCATATAGCCACATATAGAATCACGGCTATATAGCTGAAGACTTTCGTTTTTATGGTGATTTGACGATGGCTCCATAAAGATTTCATCAAAAAACGTATTTTTAAGTGCGGTGATCCGGGTTATCGTCTTTTGCCTGGCCATTTGGTAATAGAGTGCATCCAAGGTATTTAAAATCGGGTGAATTCCGGCAATGAATTGGTAGAATATATCACCTTCTTCTATATAGCGCGAAAAGACTTTCATTATTTTTTATATTGACTCACAATCCAATTCTCATTGCAGTTACCGACACATTGTTTAACATTCTTTGCATTTCATTATAACTGTCAGCTTCTTAAAAGGACTTCAGCGTATTCGAAGTCTGTGATGCTATGGACTGATTTGTACCCCGACAACCGTTGCCCATTATCCAGTCTATCGCATAGTTGAATATTGTAGGAGAAATGAGGTAGCCTTGACGGACAGTAGTTCTTATTTCGAAGGAGCCTACGTAAACACATACTTTCGCCGACGTACGCCCATTAAATGCCTTTATGAGTCGAATGATTTTTTCTGGAACATCGTCCATCACTCTCCAAAGCGCCTTTCTATCAATTGAACCAAATGCAGCATCAAAGTTGATGAAACATGAAACTGCAGGTTGCAAATATTTGAAGCGATATTCCAATACCCTTCTTAACGTGAATATCTGGTTAGCACAACCCTGGCCTGAATCCAGCTTGAATAGGGCGCATTCTGTTGTTGCGTATTTCAATAATTCTGTTGAGTAAAAGGAAAGTAAAAATTTTCGCTGAGACATCTAATAGGTTTCTCGATAATTGTCGCAGTATGTCCTGTCATCTTTCTTGAGAATTGGGAGCAAAATTGCTTTGTTCCAATCATCTAGTAATATTTCTTTTTCCCATACCAGAGAGTGCATTTGTTGAAGATGCGTTATGAAGGACGATGGACAACATTTGAAGAGTTCAACCCGAAGACCATCTTCTCCCTGAGTCTTGTTGGTCTTAAGCTTATGGATAATAGAGATTATTTTTTTCTGTTAGTGGTTCACAGTTGCAAACGTGTGGTTCAATAAATGTATGAGCTATGTCCAGGTTTGTGCATCATGGTTAACTTTGGCCTCAAAGAATTCCTTTTGGTTTAATTCCTGATCATTTTTATTATTTCATTATTACGCCAAACTTTCAACAAAATATTTTCTGAATATTATTGCAGATATACCTGATAAAGTTCTGTTGGTTTGTTGACAAATTTTGCCACTTAGCAATAAAAGCACTTGATGAATCGCTTAGATTTTTGAAAGATAGGCTCTCAAAGATAGGTTCATCAAAGATAGCTGAGAGAACCCCAGCACTGTCGTTCCAAAATTTTTTATCACCATTAGAAATGAAAATCTAGTTTAAAATAATCTACACTAAATGATTAAGTTTATGAAAGTTTATGGTAATATTAATGAAAAAGAAGAAAAATGCAGAAAAGTAAAGCGAAGATTGATGGATCCTTAAGGGAACAGGACTAAATTCCAAACTATCTCAAAGATATAAATAGGAAATCAACACTGGTCACTGGACAGGCTATCTCTAGTTATGAAGAGAAATTTTGGGCGTAGATTTATTTAAAGATTGAAGTGGATCGACAGGACCACTAGGCTTTTTAGATGACTTCTGTCTGAAACATGAGCCGAATGCTTAATGGTAACGATTTATGCAACAACCACTTGGTTATCGTCGAGGGATATAATAGGCTTTGAGAGGATTGCTGAGAAAACGAAATAGGTTTTTCTTGAAATTCTTGAAATATATCACTTTCTGATTATATTCTCTAACATTAGTTCACTAGTGAAACTGAGTAAGGAATGAATAGAACTGAGAATTGACGACAATGCTAAAAAAAAAAGATAATGATAAAAGATAAAGATAATGCCTGAATTATCATCGAAATAACGATTTATGATTTAGAGATTTAAGCCTCTGAAGTATCCCATAAAACAAGCGACAGATTCACGAATCCTATAAATGATTTTCCTAATTTACTGATAATTACAGATAAATTAATTTCTAATTTAAAGTTTTTGGTGTAGGGAAAAAACAACAATACAAAAAAATGAATCTTAATGAAAAAAAATAGCATAAATTTTTTTTGATTTTATGACCATTGCCAAGTTTTCATCGAATGAACTAATTTAAATGATGATTTCTTTACGTTTAACCTGATGATCTGATAAATTAAATTCAATTATATACGTTTGTGTTGCACTAACATCACGCACCATTGCTGGTTTGGTTTGCTCCACTGCATTTTTTTTAAGAGCCGTTACCACCACTGTTAAACTCGCTTCCTGGCTTATCTTTCTAGACAAACATGCCAAAGAGTTTCTTGGCAATGGAAGTGCAGGTGAGTTGCCAGCATCACCAGGATTTTTAGACATTTTTATTGTTGCGAGGAGTAGAATCTCAGCATCGAACTGAGCTGAGTAACAACCCATTGAGCCATTCTACCCACTGGCATGTAAGATGTTTCCAAGATCTCCACCAAAGCCATTCTTGATCTAAAGCCACTCATTTTTCAGCCGATACCTAATATTGCTGTACAGTCCATAAATTCAAAATTTTCTCTAGTCTTATCAGTTTAGGTCGTTTGCTCCATTCATCGCACGATTTAACAAGTAATGAGATGCAACAATTTTTGTTATGGATCATGAAGACACTCTATGACGATAAGCAAATGGTATTTGGGCGCTTTTGCTTACTTGTTGGGATCTTGGGCAAGGATGGTCGAAAGCAGATAGCTTTCTGATATCTTCTATAATCATGTTTCGCACCATATAATACGATTGTTCACACTTCACACTTCCGTCAGATAGACTGCAAACTTTTGTTTCTAGAATCGAAACGATTCCAACGAATCTCGATCCTTGATACTTTGGGGTGATTTGTAGATCTCTTGAGCGTCGTAGGGTCTATAAGGTTCATTAAGTGTCTATATCCAGTCTGTTGAAAATTGTAAGGGAAATTCAATCAGAGCAACATGCTTGTGGCTAAAATTGATTTATTCAAATTCACAAATATATCAAGCAATGAATATAAATAATAACAAGAATACTTAGTATATATGGACAGAGATACTTGTCTAAATAGACCGCAACTAAAACAACAAAACTTGTTTGGGACCGTCGGAGAAACGAAGCCTCTCTGCGCTGATACTGCTCCGTCAGTGTATGGAATGAAATTGTCGATATTTATTTTCATCTAATTTGAGATTAGCTGGCTCTATTCACTGAATCTGACCTTATTCCATCGCTCCATTCATTTCTCTTTTTTCGCCCCATTGATCTGATTGATGTTTTCCTTTCTTTTTTTATATATTTAAAATTCTACGGGTTTCACTGAAATGATCAATTTGATATTAATTTAATTTCTTGCAAACATTTTTCAAAAAATGTTTTTCATGAGTTTTGCTTCGATCTCGAAATATAAAGGTTTAAGGTTTTTCAATGTTTTCTGTCAACTCAGGTTGTTTTTTAAAAAACGTTGGCATAGAAGCCAATATTGAAACAAAAAAAAGTTCAATAAACGATAGAGTGAGAAAAATAACATACGAAAGAATGAAACAACAAGGCTTATTATTGGCTTAAATTTATATGAACAGAATAGTTAATTGGTTGTTGCTATTTCTTAGAATATCATTCCAATCATCATGGTTTGGCCCAAATCGCTAGTAAGTTTTTTTTTTTGAAAAATCCTAGTGGTGAAGGAGACCTGAGTGTATTTATACCCACATATGATTCCGACAAAATTCTCTGGAAACAATCAATGGAGTGAACCTACTCAGAAATGATGAATACTATAGAGCGAAAATAGTATTCTCAAAACATTTACTGTAAAACACTCAAACTAATTTTTTGAATCTTAATTTACGAATAAGATTATAATTTTCCCGAAAAAAGCGATTAACAAAACATTGCTAAATCAATCTTAGGTCCAGATCACAAGTTTCTCGCGTTTCTCCAGAAATATAAGATCGAAACCATTCTTCATACTTAGACCTCTGAAAATATAATATAATATGTAATAAATAAAATGGTTTGACATTTTAAATTTCAACTTTTGCTTAAAGATTTAACAAAGAAATATATCGTTTAAATGGCAGCGAATTGTAATCGTTCCATGGAGTAAAAATTTAAATGAGAAAAATTTTGAAGCAGGATCAATTGTTTGAGATATTTAATTGTTTGCAGTTTAGTGCAGATCTTCTAGTAAAATAATTCAAAATTTAATACTAGTGCAATATTTATTCAAATCTTCATTGATTTTCACCATATACTGTATTTGTTTGCCCCATATTAGTCCATGTTTATTGGAGAAATATAATTCGTAGACACCTGCATTAGCGCAGATTATTTCACCAAACTCTGGTGACCAGTCTGTATTGATTCTAAAACATGGCCATACCTAAAATATTTATGAAATAAACTAAAGACAAATATTTTTTTTGCCAAGGCGAGATGCCTATTATAAGAATTTTCAAATTCACCTCTTCACCATTGTGAAGTATCGCAAAATCGATGTCACCAGAAGAACAGGTGAAATACCAACAAATTTTTGATTGATCTTCTTTTACTTCAAATGGAATTCTTAGCTCGCTTCGAGCAGATATCGTAATTTTCAACAAATTATCCATTGAAATATGCATTGTTTTTATTTTAGATCTAGAAAAAAAATCAAATATTGGAGAAAATAAAGATGAAGTTTTTCGACTTATTTTGACTCGCTAACGAAATAGATGGTCGCTTATGAGGAAATTGAAATTTCAGAATAAACGAAAAACAGTAATAAGCCTTTTATCAATAACTTTCCAAAAAAGTCTCAAAGAAAAGGCCGAGAAAAAAAAGTGAATTAAAATGCTTCATGAGATATTAAAAGACGAAATGGGAGTTTTGTTAAGAAACTATAACTGGTCTGAGGGAAACAAAAGAGTATAGAGGATTTTAAAGGATATTAAGGGAAGAGATTTAGGAAGGTTTTTTTAAATAAAATAAACAAATATTAGGAGATATCGAAAGGTTTCAATGCAGAATTGAGATTTCCCATGTAGCATAGAGTGTAAGGCTTAGCAGTGACAAAGGAGGCCATAGTGGGATCTGACAGAATTGGTAAATTTAAGGATATTTTATTGATATATTTTTTTAAAGGGAAATATTTAGTGGGGCAATAAAGAGAAAGAGGGTTAAATATATTATAAGAGGATTTATGGGTTAGCGAGTTGCGGCAAAAAAAGCACAGCCATGTCTAATGGAACATTAAAAAATATATCAGAGTCCAGGAAGAATAATAGATCTCAAGGAAGTTGCTAGAGTTATTGCCGAGCCTGAAGGATTTGCGAGATTTAAGAGGTTTTTTATTGGTGAGTTATGAAAAAGGAGAATATTAATGATGACAAATATTAAAAAGGACTTTCAGAAAACAGATATTTAACGCGAATTAAAGAAGAGCTTATAAAATATGGCAGGTTTAAAAGGATATGAGCTTTTTTCCGGAATCACAGGCACCTATGCAGATTACCAGATATGATTTATTGTAAATCAACAATGGAATTAAATGGAAATTATTTGATTTTAGTCTGATAAGGATATAAGCTTGTGGATATCTTAATGATATATTTTTTTAACTAATTGATAATTGTTTACTAACTTGACTGAACTTGGTATTTCGCCTCCTTTGCGCAATAAATCGTCATTTTTAGTGCCACCACAACTCATCGGTAAATTTTCTGCACCATGCCTTTCCGCCAAAATTTCTTTCCAGTTGCTGCCGAGTACTTGAAAATTTTCGACTGTTTCCTGAATAATTTTTTTCTCAATCCACTGACTGAATCCATGTGGGTCGAGTGGCTAATTCATTTTTGAAAACATTTATATGATTCGAAACTACTCATACCTTCGCGAGAGCCATTCTTACCATTTGATAAAGTATATTCATGGCGAAAGAAGCATTCACAATGTAAAGCCTTTTGGCTGTATCAGGAAATAAAGACTAAATTAAACTAAGTTATTTTCTTGAAAAGACCATATTGATAGCGGAAAATGAGGTATGAATAATATCTCTCAAGCTAATTTCAAGTCAAAATTGTGCTGAATTCTTCCAAGAAATATTACCTGAATAAGTAAAAGCATATTTATATAAATTCTTGTAGCTGGTATATGAAAAAGTACATCATATGAAAAACCTTTCATGTCAATTATCATTATAACACCTAATTTCTGATCTCGTCTTGCCTCTTCTGCTCTGAAATGGAGGAAATAAGTGCCCTCAGTGGACAACTCTTTTATATGGCCACATGGCTTCTGGGCATTTTTATACAAAAAACTTTAGCATTATTCGATACTAGTGTGAAAAAAACAATCTTTTTCTTGAAAAATGCAGTTTTTAAATTATGAATAAATAAAATTATGTGATAAGCAATTTTCCTATTCAAATCATATTTGCATGATACAGCATTGGCTAAACACATTTTTTATCTTTCTGCCAATAATTTCGCATGCTAATCTTTTTTTATCCAAATACAAAGAAACTTCTGCACATTCTATTGTTTAATTGACCCTCTGGCGAAAGGATTTCACTGGTATTCATTGGATATAACTAAAGCGCAGAAATAACATAAAATCCATAAAGAATATATTATGCCAGAACGTATAATCAATAATTTTATCATTAAGCAATCCTAATCTCTGTCGCAGAATTGATTCCTTCCTTTCGTGCAGAATTCAAAAATGCACAAAAAAAATTATTGCCGATTTCTGTCTAGTCGTTAAACTGAAGATAATTTAGAACTAGAACGGTCGAAGAACGGATTACCTTATAAGATGCTGACTCCCTTCACAATCATATATTGCAGCAATATAAAACTCTGAAACTCTTCCTGCTCCAATCAGAGATCCAGGACTTGCAAGTCCAATATTATGTATATTTAACAAATATCCGTTTTTTTCAATACCAAGCAGTCCACCTCAAAATAACAAGCATGATAGCCCCACCAATTATTTCATAACTCCGATTCGTTCTGATTCATTAATAGTGATATTATGAACGCAGGAAATTTATTCATAGATGAATAAGCTAACCTGGAAAATATTCCGCGATGGGAGTGACAGCTCGGACCGCTTCATGAATTTTTTCAATGCTACTAAAGTCTTGGTTAAAAGCACCAACTGCATTCAAAGTATTTAACGCCCAAGCCATTTTTTTTGCAGATAAATCTGTGATAAATACCAAAACGAGAAATAAAAAAGCTTTTATTAGAACTATATATTTAATTTTTTTTTGAGGATATTTGCAAATTTTGAAAAAAATTTACAAGCACGAAACTTCATGAAATTTGAATTTTTGACACCTTAAATTTAAACTAACTTAATCTTCATTTTATTAAAATATTTTTTGGGCAAATGGTGCAAATAGATGAATGGCATGGTTGATTTGCATAGAGCACCACAGATTCTTCTTTGTAGAAAAAAATAAACCTTTTATTAAAAAATTCGGGCAGTGCTGGCGATCCATCTTTATTTCGACGACAAAAATTTCTAACCGTTATAATAAAAACTACCCTAATTTATTATAAGTATTTACGAAATGACCTTATTTTCTTGGAATATAAAAAAAAATTTATTGATGAATTCCTATTTAAGTTAAAAGTTAAATTCACAAAAATTTTTTCGACAATTCTTGGAAAATTTTTAAAAAATTTCAGATTTCCAGCAAAAGCTTTAAAGGAATTAAAATTTTCACCTATATCATAGTTATAACCGCGTAGCCACCTTAATAATGAGTAATCGGTATTGTAAGATGGATATTTTTTAAGTGTTTTGGATAATTTTGCTCGTAATTCTTCGATTTCTCTTCGATATTTTTGCCTTGCATCTTTATCAACCGATTGTATTCTTTCAAATGAAATAGAATTTGGTTGAAGCATCTTAAGAGTTGAGTATCTGAAATTCGCATTTGAAAAAAACAAAAAAACTCAGCGCGTGAAATATTCGAACAATTCGTTTCCCATCAGAGTGAGCTTTTAAAAAGAAGGAAAGAACTGAATTTGGGTCATAAAAATTCATCCATCATTGCCTTTCAAAATGCTGTAGCGGAAAAATTAAATTAGTCAATTAGTCAATTAGTCAAATTAGTCAAAATCATTTGGCACTTATATTCATTCAGAAGCTTAAGGTCAATAAAATTCCTAGAGAAGATTGTTTAAGAACTGAACTCTTCTAACACTCTGTTTGCACAACTCGTTTTCGTGATTCACTGGGTATAGGAGTAAATTCCATGTGACGGGAACAAGGCAATTCTATTTTCAATTCCCAAGCAAGTTGACAGGACTCAATGCTACAACTAACGAGGAATAAATTTATTATATATTTTCAGGAATATATGATACCAGCACACGCTCTAATCAAGCCAGATTTAGGCCATGAGAATTCGCTAATCGAATTTTCAAGCTCAGAAGAATATTGAACACCATTCAACATTGCCAACCGCTGCTTTTGATTCGCTCAACAGGTCAGCGCTCTGGTAAGTTAGGCAATGTAGCATTCCAGAGAAAATAATCAGGTTTATTATTTTTCGATAGATCAGTTTATATGTGCATATATATTGCGAATTGACTCAATCCTATGAAGAACCAAACGGTGTGCGCTTTTTCCTATACAATTTTCAGTGCAACAGATAGGGGTATGGAGCTCCCTAAGGACCCTAAGGCACTCAGGAAATATACCAATCAGACCAAAGCTTAATATCAAGGATCTCTGCTGACGTTGCTGATCTTTTTCACAAATATTGTAACAGATTACGCAATTGCAATAGACATTAACAGGTGCAGTCATAATAGCAGCGAAAATTTACCTTCAGTGCAAATAGGACAAAATTTTTTTCGTCTTACATATCGGATGTTAATAAGCCCATTTTTTCCATATATCAACAATTCAAAAAAGTCATAGCATCTCTCTCTCATCTCCATATCTAATGGTCAAGACAAAATCCCAACTTGGACAGCCGCGGCGCTAGATTTGTTCTTTCCAGCGAAACCGCGAAACCAGCCAAGAACATCGTTCTGATGTTTCTCACCTATCCAGGTGAAATATGCACTATATGGCAAAAATATGGCAAAAATGATTAAGAGAGTGGAAGATATCATTCTGTTTTTGACCATTCTTGCCGGAAGTGTGTCCTGTGTGCTCACCAAGCAGATATGACCAATTCCCCCAATTCCGTTCGCATTAAGAATATCAAACTATCACCTGCGCTGGCTAAACCGTGTTCTCTGTCGTTTATTAAGGGAAGTTCATCTCTCCAGTTGATAAACTCTTTGACGAATGGCGAGATTAACCTGGAAGATTTCGAACGCATAGGTGATATATGGCCAAACCAGTGATATGTGGCCTTAAGGAAAAAGTAGCCGCTTCAACTAATTTTATGAATAATGAATAGCACTGATGCTTAAAACAATTGGACGAGCAAAGCTATCAATAGTGCCATCCTTCTGCTAGAAGAAATATTCATTGGCATGTCTGTGGTAGCATGTCAACAAACTGGGGTAAGCAGTGCGAGGGACCACTCATTGCATTTGTAAGTAATCAACTTGAATTTATTTTAAAAAGATAAAACACTGAAAAGCTGAAACAAGATTAGTGCCTAAATCAATTTTTCAAAGAAATAGAAATTTTACAAATTTATGAATAATGATGTTCAGTTCTTTATGAATAAAATTAAAGATTTTTTCTTTGAATATGCAAACTTTTAGTATTATATGGAAAAAAAACTGGGCAGCCGCAAATATCGTAAATCAGCAACGGGATTATCATGCCAGCTTCAAATTCTTTCGAGACCAGAAAAACTTGAATACGTGCATGAACATCCAAACAATTCCAGTAAAACGCCAACTTCCAGAGAAGGCTACCACTCAACTCGACTTTTGCGACCATTTGTGAATTTACAAGTTCATAATATTGTAATGCATCCTGATGGAACAAAGTTGAATAAATCATGAAGCAAATGATACGATACCATATTATGTGAATTCTGGTTTAGCTGGCTCCACTGATCATGCGAGTCAAAAAGTCACAGAAACACATGAAATAGTCCCGCTTTTGATTTGTTGACTAGCTGCCAAGGCATAACCACAATGCTTGACAAACTAAAAGAACTCAATACTACTCAATCATCGAGCACCTCATTACATTACATTACAACCTTAGGTCAAATTTTTAAATGTGCTTACAAATAAACCAGAAATGAAATCAGAAAAAACTTTTTCCTCAGGAAATTCAACGTTTTACAGAAAAAAGTGAACGTTAAAACTATAAAATCACACTCGAATGAAAATTTATTAAAAGACAAATATAATATAAATAAATTAAATGAACTGGTGTAGAGTATTGAACTGAGAGAGCGAACAGAACGAAACCCGTTCTTCACTAGTTTCCACCTCACACTCTGCCAATTGTGCCGATTAATACGATCGTGATTTTTACAAAATTCTCTCTTTGCTCATATCTTAACAATGAATATCAACGAAAATAAATTTGATCTGTCGATTCAGTTTACTTATTTTCATTTAGTTTTACCAAGCTTGCATACAATTAACTTGAAAAACTAATTTTCTTTTCTAACACCCAAAAAGATTTTACCAGATAGGGTCGACTCAACAGCACCATCATGATCCATCAATTTAATAAATTATAATCCAATTTATATCGGTGAATATTTAATTTTTTCGAAAATAATTTCATATTCTGGAATTTTTCATCTAGCCTCAGCAATTTTACTGAGGTCTATTAAGAACAAAAGCGCTTCAAATAATCTCTCCTTAATTATTTCATTTTCGTTCGTAATAAAAAAATATCAATTAATTAGCTGCTTCTACTTATATTACTCCTCTTGTGCGATTGTAACAATAATTTATATAACATTTAGTTCAGTTCAAAAAGGGCGAATAGGGAGCAAAAGTTCAAAAATGAATTTTTAAAATTTTTTTGGCAATAAAATGAGAAATCAAACAAAATTTCGCTGAAAATTTGAAGTCAGAAAGGAAATAAATGAATAACCTTTGAATAGCCTTTGAATTTTTTTTATAAAATACCTAATAAAATAATAAAAAAGGTAAAAGGTAAAGGTAAAAGGTAAAAAAAGGTAAATATTCGAGAAAAATCGAATTCAGCGAATAATAAAGAATATAATTTGAAAAAAACTTGCAAAAAACAAAGAACACTAAGAATGCAACCACGATGTTCGAATGCTTTCCTAGTTTCCTGAATTTTTTTCGCTTCAGTATAGAATATTTGAACCAAAAAACCAAATCTGTTAATTTCAATGATATCTTCCCGCATTGCGTACAAATGGAATCATGGAAAAAGCTAAAAGAAAGTCTGATTTATCTTTTTCAAACTTTTTTTTTTAATAAAATTTGTTTTAATAAAATGAAAAATCGTGAGAAAAATTGGAAGTTTAGTAAAAATGAAGAAAACTGCAAAAAAAGCAAACCAAGAATGTATAAAGTAACTGGAAAGACTAGATGCCACTAGAATACGAAACTAATACTGGCCATATTTCGCATTTCTAGAGTGAGATGTTTCCCCATCGAAACCTATAAATTTTTTGAATATGATAAATGATAAATGATCTAGAAAAATTAATTGTTGTTAAAAACAAAGTAAGACTTTGGGGAGAGAAATTTGGTTTTATAAATATAAATATAAATATGAAAAAAAAAATCTCACTGAATGCAGCGAAAATGCAAAAGCAGAAATTCGTAATGGATAAAGCATATTAATGAATGCATCTTCTTCTTCTAACAGTTCTAACCATTACTGGTTAGGCTGGTCCCAACGTCTACAAGGGCAAGACGCTTCCAAGCGGCGCCGTCTGATGCCATCGTCGACAGTAATGGAAGCCATTCCTTTTTCCATCGTCTAAGTCCATATATTGCTGGTCCACCTAAACGTTCAAAATTTTTTCTCACCATATCAGTCCAGGTCTTGATTGGCTCACCTCGCTTTTGACGCCAACCGTCACACGGTTTAGCAAATAACGAAATATGCGTCAACTCCTGTGGTGGACGACGGAGAATGTGCGCTAACCAGCGAAGGCTGCGCTCTGTGATAACACAATTTATGCAAGTGGTATTTGAACGAAGATGGATGCGATCATGTGATATCTGTGATATCTCATCCGCTCGACGGATCCGTATACCTTAGACAAGAGTGGTCAAAGGCTGCTAATTTCTTAATATCCTCCACATTGGCCATGTTTCAGAACCATATAGTAAGATCGAACGGATCACGGCAATAAAGATGCGGACTTTCATTTTTATGGTAATTTCACGACGATTCAATAAAGGTCAACCAGAAGAACGCATTTTTAGCTGCCATGGTCCGAGTTATAATATCACCTTTTGCCTGTCCATTTGGTATTAGAGTGGACCCAAGGTATTTGAAATCAGGCACTTAACCTCAACCGGCAATGAATTTACAAAAAGAGGCATTTTATCAGCTTCTTGCACATATGACGAAAAGACTTTCGTTTATTTACATTGATCCTGAGTCCGATTCTTGTTGCAGTTTCTGACACGTTATTAAGTATTACTTGCATTTCGTTATAGCTTCAGCAAAAAGAACTACATCATCAGCGTATTCAGGATCTGTGATAAGATGCTCTGGACTAATTCGGACACCTGGACACCTCTTGAGTGCCAAAAAGCAGTGTCCAGTATCCAGTCCATTGCATAGTTGAATAGTTGAATGCATCTATTAAAAGTGTAAAAATATTTGCGAAATATTTTTTCGTTTATTCTATAAAAATTATAAAAAATATTTTAATGCTTTGTTTCTGCGTTACACTGTAAATAATAAACGAGAAATGACAAGAGAACATAAAATCTGACTAAATTTTAAAAATTTCCATAAGAGACAAACCGCACGCAAATGAGAAATTGTGTAACAAACTTGAGCATTGTCAGCGCATAGAACGAATAATTTCAGAGCAAACAGAAGAGCTTCATACTGCTTCGAACCTAAGAAAAATTAAACTTTTATAAGGAAAATTCAAAAAATGCTTGAATTTTATGAAAAAAATAAAATAAATTTTTTTATAGAATAAAACATACCATAAAACAAATTGAAGAGAAACAAAACAAATTTTACTGTGGTAATCATTATAGACAGTGATACTTAAAAACGTGCCAAATGTGCCAAAAACAAAAATTCGATGGCATATCCTATAATATTATTACTAATACTATTAACAATGCTACAAATATTACTTGTATTATTACTTTGTTACTATTATTATTCTTTATTCGAGAAACCGAGAAAATAAGTTGTGAAAAATGACTTTCTTTCGCGCAAACCAGAGATAATGGTACCAAGTCCCGTTGGACGAATAAATCCCAATAGTGCATAAACAACCTAACTAATTAATACAGTTTAAATATCGCTTACATTTTCCAAAATTTTAATACAAATTTATCAACATTTGTGCGCTTCCATTAAAAGAGAAACAGTAGAATTAACAAAATGTAGATTGTACGGAGACCTCATAATTTTCTTCACATTTTCATACCTAATTTATGATAAATGCTTGATGAAATAATTAAAGTGGAAGACACGCATGATGAAAAATAGATCGAATTGAGCTTTTGCTCTAGCTTATTTAAAAATATTTCTTTTTTCAATATTTCTCGCTTTTCAGCCCTAAAATCTAATTTTTTTTCGAACATCTCGAAGTTACTGATCAATTTCGTCGGCTACTTTGCTCTTCACATCAACATTTTTCAGTTTTCAATTGAAACAGAATTGGGAAATCGATTTTTCCAGATGATCTTTCATAAATACCCATGGTGTTTCACCTATGAAAAGAAATATTTTTATAATATACGAAAATAAACAGGAAAAATATAAAATTACAGAAAAAAAAGGAAAAATAAGACAAAAGCCTGCTGCAGCCTAGAAAATCTGCAACTCGAATTATAGCAGCGAACGATTATTATAGAAGATCTGATAAGATAAAGAACAACAAAATTCTAATCGTTTTTATCAATATTATGAACAATATTTTAAAAAAATCTGCTGCTATTGGTTCCCATTTGTTCCCATAATTGCTGACTAGATTTGGCAACAAACCATTTGGAAAAAATAAGATATCACAAGCTTCGGGGTCGAACCAGAAAATTAACTACGGTGTTACAATTTCTACCTCCTAGAGAAACAAGATAGCCAAGCGACTGCCCCTTGAGCATCACGGCCCAGACCAGCAGTAATGGAACTACAATCAGGTGACGATGCACTTCCATCCCCGAAAACCCCGAAGCAAAGAACCCTCACCATATAAATAGCCAATGAAGAAAACCTAACAGAAATGGCAGTGACTCATATATACCCAACAATACCCAACAACGAGGTAAACAAACAATTCAAAATCATTTCCATTATTTCATTTTTACTTTTTTTCATTTTTCAGTAAAACATTTTTCTTTTAAACTACCCAAGCAATTGAAACAGAAAAAGAAAAGTTTTCCTTGGTTTCACTGATAAGTGATTAAAGTGATAAGGGAAAAATTCAAAAAGGAAGAAAAACATATTTTAGAAAAATAAAATACTAATCAAAAAACGAATTAATCAATGCGTTTAAAAAGTCAATAAATCAGCAAATTAATCGAAATGGTTAATGTCGCACCTTCGCTTAAAATTCTGCACATTTCTAAAATTCAGCTTTTCTGCAATTTTGAAAATTTCAGACTTTTCGCGATTGCTTTTCTTTCTCAAAAAGCTGATGAACGCTCTCGCCTTTGACACTTGTCATTTATTTTCCTTTTTGAAAAGGCCACTAAATACATAAATGAAGCGAATTAAACGAAATCGCTTAAAAAATTGGTCGATTCGAGAATTTCGGACAAATTTTCAGCCACTTAGGGATAGCAATAGCGTCCCGCAGCCGTCTTAATTTCGCTCGCACGCTTATCCATTGCGTCGGACAGTCGACCTTATGTCCATCCGTTTTAAAATTGGCTGTGGGTCGTTTGGCCGAAGAGTACCGTCAATTCGTTTAGTCGGGCGTGCTTATTCTAATAATTTATTGCTATTATTATTATAAATGGATGACTCGTTGTTAGACGCGAAATTAAGTTCCAATTTCAGAAATAACTTTCTTCGAATGAGGTCATTATTTGCTGTCTCAAGAAACACGCGAAAGCAACATTCAACAGAAGATACCTCAGAGAAAATCGTCATACCAGGTGACCGTTTAATCCCAGTTAGTGATCACCTTCGTCCTGGATTTGGTACTTACGAATTGCATGGTCATATATATTCTTCGTTGGTTGGTTTTATGAAAACAGTGCCAGGATTCGAGGTTCGTCAATTTTAGCAGATAATTTTCATATACCGTTTCTTGTGTGGCTAATTTCGCTGACTAAAATGAGGCTGTTTCACGAAAATCATTTAGAGACAGACGAGTAAAACTAATTCAGCCCTAACTTTAAGGTTTAACCACGTGACTTAACTATGCGATAACAAACTGGTTTTTATTCAATAAGAAAAGGCCCAGCGACATATAATCTAGCACATCCTCTTTATCCTTTACACCACCCTCCTTTCTGGAAAAGTTTCCTTATATTTCCTTAAAATCCTTCGAATCTTACTGTTTCCATGCCATATTCTTTTCATACTCGCCAAATCGACGTTATTCTTCCTTAATATTCGAGTAAGTGAATGATAGCGAAAGAGAAAAGCAGAGGTTTTGATGTACTTGAGTTTCCAAAGAATTTCAACAGGCTCAGAATACAGTTTTTTTTCCGAACTTTAGCGTTTTTTTATTTTTTAATTTTTTTAATTTTATATTTTTGGGGAGAAAAAGAAATAACGACAGTTGAAGTGCATAGAAATATCGAATCGGATCAGAAATATTCGATGCCCTATGTTGGTTGCATTGCTACTGCTCGAGTACCTTCTCTTTACACCTTATTTTCTTGCCAAAAAAATTGTACTCTTTAAAATTACTTTATTTATTTGTCATAAAAAGTTATATTATTTATTTTTTCTTCTTATTACTATAAAAATTTTACAAAAGCGTATTTCATATCCAAATTTGATGCTATATCAAGTGGATGATTGCGTGAATTTAATTTTTCAGAAATTTTCTTTTATTTTCTAATTTAATTTTTATTTCCCCAATTTCTAGGTGGATAATCTTGGTCAACGATTCGCTAAATGTTCCATAATTTGTGTGGATAATTCTATCATGTTACATGAATTCGCAGGCATTTTAAGAAAGGAAGATATTCGTGCACAAGAAAAAGAAAAGGTTCAAAGATTTTCCTGGGAAAAGGTGCTTTCGAGGACGTTAATGTTTCTAAATTAAGGGAAAACTTTTTCTTTTTTAAAGTAGACATTGATATCAAGTGATCTATCAAATAGGTAATGGCTGTTGGATTCGTTCTTATTCTTATTGCTATTAATTTCTATTTTTTTCAGACAGAAATAATCATGTGCGTCAGGCCAGGAGATATTATATTGTGCCGAGTGATTGGTTTTGGTGATAATCAACGGTCATTTTTGTTAAGTACTGCTGAAGATCGATTGGGAGTCGTAATGGCCATGGGAGATTCTGGAGAGCGTATGTTTCCTTCATCGTTCACCGAGGTGCAGTCTTCAATAACCGGGATAACAGAATCTCGTAAAGTTGCACGGGTCCCAGTTTTAAATAACTGAAACAATCTTCCTGTTCTCATTCTACTTAAATAATTCATATTAACCATCACTTTTAAACTGGTTCATTAGGTTGCCCGCGCAAGTATCATTTGGTATGAGTTTTGATTTAATACAGTGAATAATGAATAATTTAATTGCAATGATTTAATTGTGTGATGGATATGGATATTTTTATAATTGGAAACTATTGCCGTATTTACACTATGCAAGCACTTGTTGTGAAACCATATTAATGGTTGTTAAGCGAAATCCAAACTAACGTATTTCTTTTTCTCTTTGTATTTCTTTTTTTCCATGTTTATATCTTCATTATTATTATCAGTTTAAATCATAATTATATTATGTTATAGTTTTCATCATTCGTTATGTAATAAATTTTAATTCAGTTGTTAAACTTTCCAAAAGTTCAATTTTTCGATTTATTACCCAATGTATTTTTGATTTTGCAAAATTTTTTAACAGTTAAATAAATTAAATTGAAAAATTTACATAAAATTTGTTTTAAATTAATTCATTATTAGCAGAGATCAAAGTTGAATTGTTTTTAAATTTATTTTAATTTATTTTGAATTTGTTTAAATATATTTTATATTTGAATTATATAAATGGAAAGAATTGGTTGACAAAGAAGTGGTTCGCATCGCAGTAAGCATACAGTCTGCAATAATTAAATCCGATAGTGAATCGGATTATATGATCAAAAAATATTTGTTTTTTTCCAAAAGTTCATCGGAAATTCAATAGATTATTGCTAATTTGATTTCGTTAAAGTACCAAAACACTTTTAACTGTTCTTCTAACAGTGGATTCAAGCTATTTGCTTATGGCACTTTTAGCAAAGGCACTTGGAGATAGAAATAGATCCGAATTTGATTTCCATTGCGGGTTTGTCTCCGTCAGGGGACGAGTTTCCATTAACTTGTGGCTGAGTCAAGTGGGTGCGAAGTGTCGCCTAGCCAATCTGCTCACATAATTATTAGATTATTCAATAAACTTTGGTGCTTGGTTCGCTTCTATTTGTTCTAACTCGTCAAAAAAGTTCGTGCCAAATGATTAAAAAGGGAAGATATTGAAGATATTGGATATTTATTTCTTATATTTTTGAGCTGTAATTAGCGAATATTTTGAATTTAAAATCTTAAAACGATTGAGAAATTATTTGTGGCCATTAAGTGGAAATTTGATGGGTTAGCCGTTTGTTTGCTGGTTTAGAAGGTGTTTGGACTGGGTTTATTGGTTTATTTCGGAAGCAATAAAGGGAGAGGGCTGTGAGGAGGTGGAGGGGGAGCTGGCCGAGTAGTGTGGATAGGGTCGAACTATAACCACGCGTCCGATTCTATTGGTGGAAGTTGAGGTGGTATTTGGGTTGCGCCTATACTTCTCTCTTCAGATGTTTATCTGGCAAAAGCGTATTATTCCAATGGGCGATGCGGCCAGCCAGCCAGAGTGCTGCTGTAGAAGTTTTGGAAATTTTGGAAACTTCGAGTCGCTTATCCAGCTCCTCTGACTTCAGAAGAAAGAAAACGGTGGTCCATGGGTTGCTTGGGTGGAACAGAATTTATATCTTCATTTTCAATAATCGCTAACTTATATCTTCAATTCTGAATGTAAATAATGGACCATAGAAAATTTCGCTTGTACAACTTTGTTACCAGTAAAATGATATTTCTTATTTTCTTATTTCTGCTTGTTCTCTCTGTTTCATTCATTTAGAGGGATCCTCACAAGAAAGTCCATAAACTTCACCAGGCTACCAGGGAAACTCAAAAGGTCGGAAGTCTCTCGTAAAATCAAACTAGAAATTTTGCATATAAGTTGAAATTTATATTTAAATATAGTTATGATGATGTTAAAATTTATAACGAATTTTTCAATGAATTTTTCCCGGTTATTCGCAGATTCTTAAATTTTTGATCCTTAAAAGAAATTTTCCATCAAAGAAAATTATGGAAATAATTTTGACCATTGGAAATTTTTTCAAGGTGAATTTTAGTGACCGTTATAATTAAAGTGGGATTTTCTACTGTTATTTGTTGATTATCCATTAACGAGATATATTCAATTACTGTTGTGGAAAAAACTTACTGGTGCAGCCGTAAAAAATGGTAAGTGGGGCCATACCGGACAAGTGATAAGTATTGTATTTCAGGTTAAAGTTCTTTACATGGATCGAATTGTTGCTTCTTGTGAATTGCTTTTTCCTCATAAGAAACATTCAGTAAGTTTTAAAATTTCTTTTTCCAATTCAGTTTCACTAAGGAAAATAGATCTTATTGTCTTCAATTAAAGACAAGCCAGCAGTGATAAAAGAATATTAAACCTTTTCTATTTTTGTCCTTATTAGAATCATTTCTTCATTGTTGTTATATATATTTTGAATGAATATTAATTTTTAATCAGACAAGAAGTAAATAAGTTTTGCTTGAAAATATTTTATTTTTATCCTCATGAAACGAAATCTCTAAACGTTTCATTCCATAGACTCATCTTTGATCTTGTGAGAGCTTGATTTTGTAATCTACAAATCCAGATGACCTCTGTGTTATATGCCCTATATTTTTTCTTAATTTTTTGTTTTTTCCTTTATAAAATGTTGTTTTGCAGGATACAAATGATAAATGTTTGAGATTAATGCCTCCACCCCCTCCTCCACCACTAATGCTTTCACCGCCTCTACCGCTTTCGCCATTATCTTCACCCTCTTCCTTATCTTATCCAGTTACTCACAATTTGTCGACCTCTCCATCTTCAGCCAAATTTCGAATTGATACTGTTCATTGTACAAATAATAATGATTTTCGTCCTGCAGGTGATTTTAATCAATTCTGTGCAATTTTTTCTTTTAATGTTGATGCTGATGCAGTCTGAACAAGATTAAATTTGTATTATTTTTTATTTGTTATTTATTTATTATTTTTGTTACTATTATTTATTATTTTTATTTTTATTATTATTATTTATATATGTATATATGTATTATTTATTATTTTTTATCATCTATTTATTTATTGTGAGCGTTCTATTGTATTATTTTTTTAAACATTTGCCACTGTTCTCAGGTAAAGTAAATAGTATTTTCAGATTATCAGTCACAGATAGGCACGAATTACTCTAGGGATCCAATTCGTTCATCTGAATTAGAGGCTTGGGTCCTGACAAGTGATCATTTTGTTAAATATTCATGTGATAAGAAAAGTTATTTGGTAAAAATAGAGTGATTGGATGAATAAGCAAAGGGTTTAACTGGCATTACAAGTAGTAATAATTGCAAGTAGTAGTCTTTGATGATTTCAGATTATTTTAGGGAATTCAACTGCAGATAAACAGTCATTTATCCATTGGTTAAATCCACCTCCTCCTCCTCCAAACGTATGTTTGACAATTTTTCTTTCTTTTATATAAGTAATTATTGCATGGCGTTGATATTGTCCTTACCAGAGGTGAGCAGTGACTTATACGGTTAATATTATTTATTACTTATATTTAATGCGGTTTTGATCAGATTAAATTCGGTGAAATTAGAATTAAACTCATTTATTTAATCTTATTCAAAGAATAAACAAATGGTTTTTATTTAATATTCTTTTTAGTTTGATCCGTTCTGTGCAACACAAAGCAAATTATCAACTAGCCATTCATCAGACATCAAACTTACATTTTGTAAGTCATATGAAAGTGAAACTTTGGATTTGTTTATTTTATTTTATTATTTTCTTAGTTCCTATTTTTTACTGTTATTTTTTCTAACATTACAATGCTATAATATGGCCAAAAAAAGTGGCAGAGCTCCTAGGGGTTAATACCTTTCCCAGAAATATTCATTTCTGGATGAGAAGTTTGGAACTAAAAATTGATCCGATGAATATTGCTTCTTCTAGGAACGAAATTTTTAGGTAATACGAAGTCTCAGTTTGATGAATATGAGGAGTGTCAGGTAAATCGATTTAAAAAGACCGATTATATTCTTTATAATAAGTGGCAGTAGTTATAAAAAGCTGATTTTCCATTGAAATATATTTATTTTACCTATTATGGTAATAATATGATGGTAATAATATGGTAATAATATAACGTTATATATATTTATATTTGTAAAATATTTATATTTATTTATTACGTTAATTATACTTTATCATTATTGTAATTATTATAATATTATATTTTATTATTTTATATTTTATTTATTTTATTGTAGATTTTCTAATTCTTCAGAAAAATATTCCAATCAAATGTTTTACTTCTCACAATTCTGTTCTTTTCTTATATTTTTTTCGAATTTATTGGCAAAAAATTTATTATAAAATTTATCTTTATTAAATGAAAGATTTGAGGGCTCGAGAAATTGTTCACAACCATCAGGCGAAGCAGCCGATTTCGTTTTGAATAAAAAGATTAAAGTAGAAAGTGAAGAAGGTAATTTATTCTTCTATAATTTTATTACAAAGCTAATTAAAATTGTTTTGGTTGATTTGAGTCTTTTCTAAATATAGGGAAAACAGGTGCCATTTACAAATTCTTCATTACTTTTTACAAGCATAGATTTTCCAGATATGCCGATGGAACTTGCTGACGAAATGCACACCACTAGATCAAAGTTTCAGGGTAAAATCTGTGCAGATATTATATTCGATTCCAGACCTCAAATGTCAGTTAGTCGAACTTTTCCTTTAAAAAATTATTTTGGTAAAAAATATCCGTTTGGAAATAATAAACGAACTTGCCATTCTGCTAATTCTGCTGCAGTTTCTTTTGCAAACATTTCACCGCAGGCTCCTTTGATAGTTCGTACCGCCACTAAACTTATTCGTAAAAGCAAATTTACTAGTAATTTGCAAAGAAATTCGAATCCAACAGCGAATGCGAATGACGTATTGAGGCAAATTACAGAACAGAGAAATGGTAACGAGATTTTCATTTCTTTTATTATTTATCATTATTTTTGTTTATTATTTATTATCATTCTTTTCTTTTTGCATGTTTTAGTTGTTATTCTCTTTTATTGCGAGAAGAATTTAGATATTTCTCTATTTTCTATTTTTCTCTGCTTTGTTTCATTGGTTCGTATTTGTAAAGTAATTAATTTCGGAAATTTGAAATGTTTATATAATGGAAAGCTTCAGTTTTAGTGTCACTGAAGAAAATTGTGAATAATGGGACTCTTTCTCGTAATGGAATGTGTTGGCGAAGGCGGCGATCAAGTGATCCCGTTAACTGTGATAAGACGATATATATATCTGAGATGGTTATTGCAGTTTGCAATTTTTTGAGAAATTGTCTTGAAAATCTGTTGAACTGAATTTTTATATTGCTTATTTATTATCGTTAATACTTCTTTTAGGCATCTGATGAGACATATAAGAAAAAAAATCTCTATTTGCGTCGGATCAATAGTAAGGCTTAATCACTTTATTTTTTATAGATTTTCAATGATAAAACAGTTTGAGGACAAAAAGTCAAAAATCGTTTTAGGCAAGATTTACACAGATGATTCTGATGAATGTTTCGATTTCGCTGAAAGAGGTGAATGTACTGCTGGATCGTTATGTATTTATCGCCATCATGGAAAAATCGATCATCAAGAAAAAAAATTCTGTTCAAGGTTTTGAAGTTCATAAATTCTCAAAAGTGATGATTTTTTTATTTCATATTTGATTTTTCAAGGTTTTTGAATGGCTTGTGTCGAGATTCACGTTGTCGGTACTCACATGATTTGGCAGATCACCAAATACCAATCTGCGATTATTATTTGAGGATGGTATGTTCTGATGTCAATTGCAAGTTTTTGCATGTAAAGTATGCAGCCGGCGTGAAACCTTGCCGGTTCTTCAATCGTGGACTTTGTAAGAGAGGCATAGAGGTTACTTTTTTTTCTTGCTATTGTGCTATTATTATGCTATTATTTTATAAAATATCATCTAATACGAATGGCGAATTAAAAAATAATAATAATAAAAATATAAAATAACATTAAACAATTGGCAATGATGATATCATATATCATGAATGATGCTTGTCTCTAGCTGTCGTTCCAGCTATATGCATATAAAATGAGTGATTTTAATCTTCTCTCAGAGCCAAATAATTCCAACCAACCGATGGATTCTTTCTCAGTTTCTGCAAATTTCATTATTTTTTGTTAATATTTTTTTACTGATGAAATAGAAAGGAAACCAATCAGTTAATATTAGAGAACCGAGAATATTCATATAAGGGTTTTTTTAAAGTTTTTACCATTACTGGAGGTTAAACTCATTCCGCTAGCTTGTCGCATTGGACAATCATGCCAGGGAGTTTCTTAGCGACAGAAGTGAGTCGCCAGCATCATCCCGATTTTTTGTTTGCTCCTACGGGGAATAGAACCTTAGTATTGGCGTCCCTAATTGAGCAACAACCCATTAAGCCATCATATCCCATATAAGGGTTAGACGATTTAAATATTTTTTTAAAATTTTTAAGCTGGTCTTATGGAAATATCTTCAATATAGAAAAATTTTTTTTATAGTGCATTTGCCCTCATCGTTATTATTACTCAGTGATTCAGAGCAAAAGTGTTCCAGTGGATAATATAAGCGAGAAACGATTTTTCAGGTTTGACTTCATTTTTGCCGATTTTCTCAGGCTTCCGTTTTTTAAATATTGAAATCATTTGCTTTAATTAATCATAATTAGTATCTGTAGCATAATTTTGATTAATAGGTATGAAAGCGAACCATCGCATGAAGAAAATGAATGCAACACTGAACTTTTAACTTGGATCGAATAGTAAGATACTTATTTCTATTTTATTAACAGGAGATTTATATAGGCTTATCCCAACCTGTTTGGTTTATTTCTTCACTTTTATTACAGATTTTCTCAATCACCGTGGCTTCAGCATTTCTTCAAGGTATTAGGGTAATGTTTGTTTGATATTCGGATTGTAAATAAAGGTTATCCAAATATATAAAATCTTAGTGGTTTAAATCGTTATTGCGACTTTTAGATGCTTTTAATATCGACTAAATATTTCTAGCCTTTTTTTTGAATATTAACCATCTTTCATTTCAATTTATCATTTAAATTTATGATTTTAGGTTTTGTTTTTTTCGTTAGCTGATGAATTGTGGCTATCGCCTCTATCAGGTGGGTGAGCTCGTGGTTATTTTTCAACAATATATCAAATCCTTTCAATTTTTTAGATATTTGCCCCAAAGAGAAGATGATATTTATAAGAATTTCTATATATTGCTCAAAAAAACGAATGTCTTATATGGTTATGATTGATAAATATTATATCCCCTTGTCTTTGCCTTTACATTACAGAATTCGATTTTCTCAAAAATGAGACTATTCAATATTGTACATTTATATGTTTGTATAAAAGGATGTGTAGGAGATGATCGAGTCTTATGTGGTTTTGGCTTGGATTAAGCGATCCTACGTTGGATTCCTTTTGAGCTGTCATCAAAAATATGATCTAACTAGTGTCGGACCGCTGATAACTTGCTTGTACTTTTATCCTTATTAAATTATCCTTTATTGCGATAATGATTTCTTTTTAAAAAAATAAATGGAGGTTAAAATGATCAGTTATTTTTTATGAAGAAATGAATGAGAAAGATTTATTCATTTTTTAGTGCGTAAATACTATATTTTTATTTTTTTTTTGTAACCGATGTATTTATGTGGTTTTTGAAAGTTAAATTTAAAATGGTATTCAGAACGACTGATTTTGTGCAAAATGCTGTCGAGTAAAATAATTTTGTAAAATAATAGAGGGATAATGAGATTAATTATGTTGCTGCTTTTTAGAAAATAAATTTGTCATGGCGATAAGAATTTGATAAATGAGATCAATTTTCGGCTCGTATGGTTCTTTCTTTATGCATTCTTTATGCCTTAATTTTATTTGAAAAGTTAAATTAAATTTCAGATTCTTTTCAGATTCTTTTCAGATGAATGATTCGCAATCTTTCATGTATAAAGGGTGAAATATGATATCTTTTTAAGTACGCTGGCCAAGATGAAATCTTTTAAAAAAATAAAAATTTTTTTTTTAATTTTTAATAATTTTAATAATTTTTTTTAAAAATAAAAAAATCTTTTTTATTTCTTTAACAGTTTTTATTTATTTTTGATTAATGATTAGAATGATTGAAATATTAGCAATGATGACTTGATATAATTTGATATAACCATCACTGCATCCTAAATCTTTTGTGGTTGATGTCAATCTTGGGGAAAATTAAAGTAGCGATTCACCTATATGTGCCCAAAAAAAAGGTGAAAAGCGCTTAAACGATGTATTATATCAGGGACCCACAACTCTTCCCGATTTAATAGGAGTATTACTTCGTTTCTGAATGATGGAATTCGTGATAGCGGCAGATATTGAAAAGGCCTTTTTACGATTGGAGTTACCACCAACAGAAAGAAAATGTACACGATTCCTTTGGTTAAAGGATAAACGGGGACAAGCAATGATAATATTGAATACTATCGATTTCGATTGAACACTATCGAATTGAACGAGTCCTATTCGGAGTAATATCTTCACCATTTTTATTATCAGCTACATTTAACTACCACTTGGAAAATTACAACAATGAGCTCGTCAACGAGATCAGAACGAAGTTCTTCACAAATATCATGAAAACCATCTTCAACAATGCCTCGATGAATGTTAGGGAATTCTTACCAAGCAACAAAGAATTTAATTCCAAGATTTCTAAACAGGATTGAGCAGAGACAAATGAGTTTAAAAAGATTCTTGGAATTAAATGGAACTCCGATAGGGAAATTATTCAAATAACCTTAAAATCGTGGAACGATCAAGAACAAACAAAAGAACGATATTGCAGTTCTTAGCTTCTCAATATGATCCCTTAAGATTCCTAATTCCAAGAATCAATGCCGACCAAATTTTTTCTTCAAAACCTTTGGAAAAAGAAAATAAGTTGGAGCCAATTAATAAATATACCAATTAATAAAAAAACCAGAAAATATGGAAAGATCTTACATGCGCATGGCCAATATATGTGAAAGAAATACGTGTCGCAATTGACCCATCACAACCTACAAGAATTCGTTTTCTTAGACGCTTCCTTAGTTGCATATGCTCCTTTGGTATATGTTATTCAGGATAAGAAGGCTTTTTTGCCAAGTCGCAAATTGCTCTCCTCAAAGGTATGACTATTCCAAAATTCGAATTATTAGCCATGCTCATAGGAGTACGTGGTGCTCAATTTGTTATTAAACAGATGGAACTAGAAAATAATGATCATCTTATGGTCAGATTCCAGATGTGCATTACACTGGATACAAAATCATTCTCGCCTCCTACCAAAATCCATCCAAAATCGAATTGAAGAGAGACAAGCAAAGTTCTCACTTCGCTATATTTTAAGTGAATGTAATCCAGCAGTATATATAGCTACCAGTGGACTTTCTCCATTTCAACTCACAGGATTCGAACTATGGTGGAATGGACCAGACTGGTTAACAAAGGAAGAGTCAGATTGGCCTCATTGGGAACACAGTATTGATAAGGTAAAAGCGAAGAATAAAATCAGAAAATCATTGCGCATATTACTATCAACAAGACCTTTAAACTAGTCGACGCAACAAGATTCAGCAAATTGACGAGATCAATAAGAGCGACAGCATGGGCTTTGAAATTTTTAAATTTAATATCCAAGCAAAGAATTCCTTGGTTAAAAAAGAAAAATCGACTCAATGATGACGATTTTTTTTAAAGAGTCCTCACCATTACTGGTTAGACTCGTTCCATTGGCTTGTAGCATTGGGCAATAAGCCAGGGAGTCCCTTAGCGATAGAAATACAGGTGAGCCGCCAGTATAACTCGGAATGATGATGATTATGAACTAGCTATGGATGTATTAGTTAGACAAGTCTAATTGGAAGGACTAACGGAAGAAGAAATAATTAAATTGAATCTATACTATGAAGAAGGAGTATGGAAATCTAAAAATCGTCTAGCAATTCAAATTAGACGAACAAGAATTGCATTTCATATATCGTCCTAAACATAATCGTAAGACCGAAATCTTTATGCATCGACAACATGAAGAAACATTTCATGCTGGAATGGCTCATACGATTTCAAGTTTAAGAAAAAAGTTTTGGATACCCAAAGAAAGAACAGAAGTTAAAAGAGCTTGAATAAAATGCATGAGATGAAAGCAATAGATAGCCATCTAAAACCATTTAAACTGCCCATTATGCCTAATTATCCAGCATTTCGAGTAAGACGATAGCGAACAGTTGCACGAGTTGGTTTGGATTATTTAGGCCCTGTTTCCTTTAAAACAGAAACAGGAGTTACAAAAAGACGGGTTGCTTTATTTACATGTTTTATTACAGCAGTGCATTTAGAATTAGCAGATAATTTATCTGCAGAAAGCTTCTTGAATATTTTCAGAAGTTTTATCTCACGACACGGCTATCTGGAGATAATTCTAAGTAACAATGCGAGTCAATTTCAGTTAGTTTTCTTAATGGAACGAGAAAGGAAACTGACCGAATTCCTAGCTAGACACGGACTGAAATGGAGAAATATAGTTTTTAAGGAGCCCTGGAGCCGAAGAGTTTACGAACGAGTAATCGGCCCAACGAAAGGAACATTATGAAAGATTATAGGAAGGAAACTGCTAAAGGAAAAAAAAATTTATGACCTTAATAGTGGAAGTAGAAAGTATACTTAACACTCACCCACTAACTTATGAAAACTTTAACGATTCCACAGTCTTAAGACCTATCGTCTTTATTATACCAAACGTATATCTTATGACACCTACTAATAATACCGATGATCAAGATGATTATAGCCTTCACAAGTTAAATACACAAGAGAAACTTATCAAATACTGGATAAGTACAACAAAAACATTTTCTCTAGATACATTTTGGAAGGAGGAATAGAGCACTTTACTAGTTTGAGAGAACGTACCCAAGTAGAACATAAATCTCCTAGAAGCGAGACTAGAGCTTCTTTTGAAGGAGAAATTGTAATACTAAGCGAATCAAATGCTCCTCGCGGGACAGGGAAATTAGCAAAAATAAAGAAACAAAATATATATATATATATACTCGGATTCACGTACGGATATCAGCCATAAAATGCAGTAATGTCACTCGAACAGTATGCATTTCTTAGATTATCGTTATCGGTAGTTTCTGACCAAACTGCTATTTCCGCAACAACTTCACAATTTTGCATAGCCTTAAATAATCAAAAGGGAATAAATGGAATAGCAATAAATCAAATTTCTCCAAACAAATGGATAACAAATAACGAGATGCAATACTCTTATGGATGGTTAGGTGTCAAATATCAATCAACATCGAATTTTTTATTAATTCAAGGAGAAATGGATATCTGGTATACCATTTAACATTCTTGAGAAGTGGAATTGTGAAGAAATCTTGAATCTCAAGCCTTTACACAGATTTATGACGGAAGTGGGTTAGTCTTTGATCTTAATAAATGCAATTTACAAGAGAAAATATATAACAGGCTCTGATATAATTCTATAGAATGAAATCAGTTTTATAATGGAAGATTGGAAGATTAGATGCCCAGAAATATGGAAACCATTTTATTATAGATGAACTGCAAACTTCATTCATATTCGATGAGAAAAATGAAACAATAACAACTAGAAATTGTGGATTTATTGATCTACATCCGATGAAAGGAGACATTATTGTCGATATGGGGAATGATAACAATGTAACTAAAAAACTTAGAAGAAAACCGAGGAATCAATTGCTCATGATTGACAGAGATTATTGATAGAGATCAATCCAGAGGAAACAACGGAAAATAGATTATTTTCTCCCAGAGCCTTATTGGCCTGAATTCAGCTTGATTAGGGCGCATCCTGTTTTTGCGTATTTCAATAATTCTGTTGAGTAAAAGGGAAGCAAAAATTTTCGCTGAGACATCTAATAGGCTGATTCCTCGGTAATTGTCGCAATCATCTTTCTTGAGAATTGGGAGCAAAATTTCTTTGCTCCAGTCATCTGGTAATGTGTCTTTTTTCCATACCAGAAAGTACATTTATTGAAGGTGAATTGTGAAGGACGATGGACAATATTTGAAGAGATCAGCCTGAAGATTATTTTCTCCCAGAACCTTATTGGCCTTAAGCTTATGGATAACGGAGATTATAGATTATTTCTGCGATTATTTCTTCTGTTGGCGGTTCACAGTTGCAAACGTATGGTTCGACGAACGTATCAGCTATATCAGCTATACCAGGTCAACATATGGGCACATCATGGTTAAATTTAGTCTCAAAGAATTCTTTATGAGGCCTTCCTTAATAATCTTAACAGGCATGTAATTTATCGCTTAAGATTTCATTAATCGTTTCCCGAGTTAGAGTTGTTTTATGAAAAAGGCGGAATAGTTTGTTGTCATCATCTAACCGAGTCGTTGTCTCCATTCTCAGGGCAATGTCGCTCCAATAGTGATTTCTGTCCTATCGTGCTGCTATCGTTGTAATTCTTCGAAGCAACCAGTAGTATCTTCTGATCTTCATGCTTTGGCAGTATTTTCAGACAGTTGGACAGTTCCTTCCGATATCCAATTAGCGCAGTTCCTACTAGTATGCCTAAATAACTGATTGGAGACATTCTTTTAGTTGGGACCAGTATTCATTTGCCGTTTCACAAAAGTCACTGGTATTTATATCACTGAGATGCTTCAATAATTCAGTTTGAAATGCGCTCACTGCCCCCGAATTTTTTAGTTTGAGAATTTGAGGATCTTTGGGGGTACTGTTTTCTGCGAGTTGTCAGTTTTATGCGGATCTTATCTCGGACCATTACATGGTCAGATCCATGAAAATTGCTCATTTCAATGCCGTAATAAAAACGAATATCTACGGAACTCTTCCAACGTTGACTGATTATGATATAATCAATCTGATTGGAATGTTGGTTATCTGGAGAGTTTCACGTGGCTTGATGTCTTCTCCGATGCTGGAGGCATATATTAGAAAAAAAAAAAGTCATGCTCTTCGGCATAGCTAAGAAGGCATTCCTCATTGAGCGCACCGGTCTCTGATGCCATATTTGCCAATTGTCCAGTTCATCACAGCGATACCTTGACCCATTCCAATCTTCCCCGATTATGACCATGTCATATTTCGGTAGGGAGACTTTGTTAGCAGTAGAAGTTCTGCTTGGAACTTATGTTATCACGGTCATCTTCCAACAGAGTTGGAGCTTAGACACTGATGACCGAGATATTGCAGACTTAACTTTAAAAGAGGCATAGGCCATACGGTTGCTTAGGGGTTTGCACTCAATCAAAGTACAATGGGCATTTTCAGATATATACAACCGCTACGCCATTTTTCCCCGAGTTATCCGAAGCGTTACACTGATACATCCAGCACCTCTACTCCGAGCCAGTAGTATTAGTAATTGCTCGAGACCTAAAGTGAAGAAGATGGAATTCCGAAAAGCAAAAGATATTCACTCAATGTTTAAAAAAAATATGGGCAGTGTTCCCTTGGCTTACAACGTCCATAAGCATTCTAACGTTCCATGCTGATATGGCTAATACCTCGCCACATGCACATTTGATAGGTTTCGAGCATTCGCCCTGGATTCCAGCATATTTTATTTATAAACCTTGGGATCGTATTACGCCCGGATTGCATATTTGTCGCATGTACCACTGGACTGGGGATACAATGGGTATCGGAAGATGCGGATGCCGTCAAGGATATCTGAACCTTTTACCATAAAGTCACTTGGGGATAGATGTGGGTCCCCTACAGCCAGCCGAGTTCTGATGACGGCGAAGGCAAGCATAGTATTTTAAAATTTTATTCAAGCATAGTATTATATCATATTTTTTATAATATAATAATATTATTTATTAATGGAAGAAAAATAACAAAATAAAAAAATGATAAAATAAAAAATAAAAAAGAAAAAAAGCTTACGCTTAATGCTTCTAAGGTCAGGAAAAAAACCTTGTAGATAGACCTTGATGATTGTTATAAAAGCTATCACAAATTCATAATCTCTTTATTATTGCAATGCATTTCATTTTTGAAAAAAAACTAAAATCCACAATTTTTCTTAAGTTTTCAAAAATAGCATTCTTAATGCAAATTTTTTTTCGCACCATTGAAAAATCTTAATCTTAATCCCAAATTTCAATCTAAAACCAATTGAAAATTATCAATTTCATCGAAACTTTCTGAAATCTATAGATTTTTTCGGCATTTATACTAGATTTATTTAACGAAATATATTATATGATATTTTGCACTCAATAAATCCACTAATTTTTTACTTTTAGCGAAGGTGACAGAAGTTTTCAATAAAAATTGCCAAGTTTGATGATAAATCGGCACGCTTATGTGCAACTTTTTCGGAACTAAATTTACTTTTTCTATATTCTAGGAAGATCTGCTATTTTAAAATTTTTTATAAATATTTTCTGATAAAATTTTTTAAAAATATTTTCTAGATTTAAACTTGAAATTTTACATCTTTCTATTTTTTATTTTTTAATTTTAATTTATTTTATATTATGTTTTGTTCATATTTTATTTCCAAAATTTAGCCATATTTTTCTTCTTTTCACTTATTACATTATTTTTATGGTTCAGTGGACATCGGGTAACTGATAGTATGGAATATTGCGGATCAAATTGAATTATTACTTTGATTTACTTTACTTGAATTATTACTTTATCCCTATTACTAATCTTATTGGTTCCCATTTTATTGCTTCATTATTTTACGTACATATGAATTTCCTTTGTTTCTATGCATTACTTATTCTCTGCATATTATCTTATTAAATGGATCGACTTTATCATCATAGATTAGAAAATTTCCCTCCTAAACCCATAGTTTCAAATCATATCGACGATTTTTCGAGCAAATTACTAACCGTGAATTTTATGCCATAGAAGGATTAGCAGATTCACCACCTCCGATCAATTAATTCTACTAAAATTGAGTGTGTTTCTTTTTTAGTGGAAGATTTAGAATGTAACACAAAGACACCGGATAGATTTTACTACTAAACTTTACAAATTTGAATCTTGGTCTGACATTCACTATAATATATTTCTTATCAATAGAAGAAAGACTAAAAAAAAATAAGAATCCAACATATGAATTGAAGATTCTAATAAATAATAATAGATAATAAATTTAATAAATTTTAGATTTAGATAATAAATTTTTTTTGAATCATGAAATTTTCTGGACTTTTTACAACTGTAACTATAAACCTTGGCCAGCATCTGAAGTTTTTTTTACGTCATTTCTTCCAGTTTCTTTTTGTATTCTGAAACAATGAATATTCTGAATTTTTAGATGAATTTAAAAATGTACTGCCAATTCGAATATTTCAAGAAACGCTGATTCGTCTATTTTTCATTTCAGGAATTGGTGTTTCATTCGTTTTTTCAAATAATTCTAGATTTTTTTCTCAACGTTGATTCTATTTGTAAATAAATAATAAAAATCATTTCATTTTCCAAATTTGATCATTTTTTTTTCTAAAAATGAGAATTATAGGAAAGATCAAATATCTTTAAAAATTGATATATTGAAAAACATAAAATTTATAGAAGAAAATCTTTTTAGCTCTACGCAGAATATTTCAAAAATTCTTTTTCTACTGCATGTTCATGATTTAATGACTAATGAAACGAAACTTCTATTTCCTTTGGCTTAATGGATTTTTATATTCCAAAAAACGAGCAGTGCAGTACCATGTTGTCACAAATTAGAAAAGGCCATGAGAGGCGAAAATTAGGCGACAGCTTTCAAAAGAAAAACGAAGAAAATAACGACAAATTATACTGCTAACACAATTATTGGCAAATTTTGATTCAATATAGAAATCAAAAATTTTCGAATTATCTATGAGAAAATAATTTCCTTCGGTCTTGTGCAACGCTCGATTTGTGTATATATGTTCGGAAAAGAATTTAAAAGCGGCGAATACTAAGGGAATAACGAATTCGAATAATAATAACAAATAATATAATAATAATAATAACAATAGTAATAATAATAATAAAAGTCCAGGGCACAAACAATAACAGAATTTGATCGCAACCGAGATAAGTACTCAAAATCCATCAAGAGAGAACCTATCCGTCAATACTTAGTAAGCACTGTGAGGTGCTGGCTATAGTTGGAACGTCAGAATGCTTATGGATGTTGCAGGTCAAACGATCACTCTCCACATCCTCTCCAAATATCGCGCAGATGTGGCCTATTTGTCGGAGGTCCTTCTTCCTCATGTCGGCTCTCGAGTAATTGTTAAACCTGTTCCGAGCAAAGATATTGGCCATATCACAGTGGTGATAAGCCTGGGTGAAATGGCGTAACGATTGTCATGTCTGAAAAGGCTCTATCCGCTCTGATTGAATGGAAGCCAGTAAATGTCCATATGGCCTATACATTTCAAAGGAAAGTTCTGCAATATTTCAGTCATCAGTGCATATGCTCCAACTTTATGCGCGATAAGACCGCGATAAAGATAAATTCAATGCGGAACTCCAACTGCTAGCAAAGTCTCTACCAAACATGACATGGTCATAGTCGGTGGTGACTAGAATGCGCGTGGGTCATGATGCCGTTTCGATGAATTCGGTGATTGGCAAATATGGTATCGGGGTCCAGTGCGCCAATGGAGAACAGTCGCAAAAGGCGAACACAAAAAAAAACGTAAATTAAATTTCTCAAATAAATGCTGTGAATTAACATTTAAATTATTGGCAATCAGCAGTTACTAATCTTAAATTCCATTCCTTTTTTTGCCCAAAAAAACCTAATTTATCATACAAAATCTCACATCTATTCAAACATAAACAAATAACTATAGTTTTATTACACATATCTGTTAATCATGCGCTGCATGAACAATATTCACACAAAATGATGCTTTTTTTGTTGATGAAAATAATACATATATGCGTATGAAATAGACGAGTTTGGACCTTGCTTGTTTAAAATTATTCTTTGAGTTTGCTTACGTGTAATACATTCTTTGGTTTTTAGCTATGATGAAGAAACTAGGCTCTCCCTTTTTTTTTTATTTTATTTCATTTGTTCTTTAATTTTTTTCTTAAACTTTATTGTTTATACATTTATATTATAACAAAGATAAAAAATTCCTAGCCTGCTTATGTACAAACGGCAAACCATTAGACCAACAACTATGAACCGCATCCCTTCCGTTTGAAGCGTTCTTCGCCTGTCCAACCTCATGTATTAAATCTCGCCAACCCCTTCCCAAGGACCTCAGGCCTCCAAAAATTTATTGCTGCCACGAGCCGAGAAAATGTCTGCAACTATAATTCTCAGCACACAGCCGGCAAAGGAGAAACTGCTCTTCTCAAGGAAATCAAAGGAATGGATTTGACACCGCTGGATCAAATGACCATATGGCCTATACGCGTTTCAAGGGAAAGTTCTGCAATATTTGGTCATCATAGTGCATGTGCTCCAACTTTATGCGCAAATAAGACCGCCAATTGAGAACTCTCCGTTTTGCCGAAGAGTATAAATTCTTTGTTAATAATACATCGAAGAAAGCATAAAACATCTGGTCACGTGGAATTGAATTCTCCGGACAACCAATATTCCAATCAGATTGACTGTATATTAGTCAATCACCGCTGGAAGAGTTCTGTACTTGATAGTCGTTCATCGAAGTGCTAAAAGTGGTAACCGCCATGGATCAGATCATATTATGGTTCGAGCCATGATTTGTATAAAATTGACAAGTAAGAAACAATGGTCCAAAAGATCTCAACTATCTCAAATTAAAAGATCCGATAAAGCAATAAACGCATTTCAAACCGTATTATTGAAACACCTCAAGGCGAAATGAATTTCAATGAATCTCTGGAACGGCGAATCAATACTGATCCCAACTAAAGACATGCTTGCAAAAGTCATCCATTTCCATACTAGGGCACACTGGTAGGAAATGCGTTAATTAGGTGTCGGAAACAACTGTCCAACTATCTGAAAAAGCTGTTAACGCCTAAATGTCAGGAGATCCGAAAGCAGCACGGCTGGACAGAAAACGATATTGGAACGGGATGACTTTGGGAATGGAGATGATTGTTCGGTTAGATGATAATAGGAAACTGTTTCGCCTTCTTCACAAAGCAACTATAATTCGAGAAGGAGTCAGTGAAATGATACGGGGTATTAATGGGGTGCCTATTAAAACTGTTAAGGATCGCCTCAGAAGATGAAAAGAATTTTTTTGAAGCCAAACTTAACTACGATGCGCTATCTGTCACCCACAAGAAAATTGATTGCCCATCGAGGCTTATATTTACAACTGTGAGCTGCTAATAGAAGAGGAAATAATCTCTATAATCCATCAGCTTAAGGTCAATAAAATTCCTGGAAAATCTTTGGGGCGAAGTCGTCAAATGTTGTTCATCAAAGTTTATAACTTACCTTCAACAAATGTATTCTCTGATATGACAAAAAGAAATAATACCAAAAGACTGCAGCAAAACAATTTTGCATCCAGTTCCTAAGAAAGGAAGTACTGCGACAATTACCAATGAATCAGCCTACTAGACATCTCAACGAAAATTTTTACTTCCATTCTGCATAACAAACTTATGGCAATACGAGATAGCAGAATGCGTCTTAACCAAGCTGGATTCAGACGGGATGTTGTTGTGCTGACCAGATATTTATGCTAAGAAGGGTGCTGGAAAAAAAGGGTGCTGGTGCAGGGTGCTTCAAATAGCAGCTACCCACCGTCACTTGCTTCATCAATTTTGCAGCTGCCTTTGAATCGCTTGATAGAGCAGCGCTCTGGAAAGTGATGGAATGTGATGGTTCCCAGAGAGGATCATTCAACTCATAAAGGCATTTTATCAGCATACCCTGGCACAACTCTCTGCATATATGAGAAACTGACAGACTCTTCGAAATAAGAAGTGGTGCTCTAGAATTGGACTCAAAATCAATGCAAATAAAACGAAAGTGTTTTCGTCTTATAAACAAAATACTGATAAAATACCTTTTTTTATCAATTCATTGCCGGCTGAGGAAATGCTGGACTTTAAATACCTTGGATTCACTCTAATCCCAAATGGCCCGGCAAAGGATGAAATTGTAACGCGGAAACGACAGCTAGAAATATGTTTTTCGGTTGATGAAACCTTTATGGAACCGTCGCGATATCACCATAAAAACAAAAATCCGCGTTTAAGTTGCAATTCGCTCGATCTTGCTATATGGCCGCGAAACATGGCAAATGAGAGTGGAAGATATTAAGAAGCTTTGTCTAAGATGCCCACTCTTATCTAAGGTATATTTTACAGGTCCGTCAAGGGGATAAAATATCACATGATCGCATCCATCTTCGTTCAGATTCCACTTGCATTAATAATGTTATTACATCACGTCACCTTAGCTAGTAAGGACACGTTCTTCGTCGTCTACCACAGGAGTTAACGTATATTTCGTTATTTGCTAAATCTTGTGATGGTTGGCGTCAAAGGCGAGGAAATCCAATCAAGATAGATACATACAGCCAGGAGAAATTTTGAAAGCATAGAGGAAAAGCGATATATGGACTTAGACGATGGAAAAACAAATGGCTTACCTAATACTACTAGCGATGACGTCAAAGCGAACAACTTGGAGACGTCTCTCCTTATAGCCAGCATAGCCAGCCTAACCAGTAAATGGTGAGAGCTGTTGTACGAAGAAGAATTCAAATTCATAATGTAATGGTTGAGGTTATAATGTTGTAAATTAAGAAAGTGGTAGCGTTGGTCATTCTTCGCTAGGCCCGCTCCACTGATTATTGGTACGCTTAGAACAAAACAACCGAGCAGTATTGTTCAGATTGTCATGCTAAGAGGCAAGGACGAGGATTCTATTTCCGATATAAGTATAAACCTCTTATTAAACAACCCAGTTAATGCTGCCGACATACTCACACTATTATCTCAAGACTCCTTGGTTGTTGCTGTTGAAAGCGAACTTTGCTTAATGATGGTACTAAAAAGAAAAGAAATAAACTCTCTTATCTATAAATTTGGCATCGGATCGAAAGATTTAGGAGCGTTTTTCATTGTAACCAGTGAAAGTGGTAGTAGACCGCCGGTACTGGTACAAGCTTTTGAAAAAACAGATAATCGATTCTGGAAATATTTGATTTCTTTGAGAAATCATCTGAATTATTTGCTTGGTTTTGTCAAGAGTCCACTCTTTTCGATTTTTTTGCTTGGTATATTTATTGATGCATCCAAAAATAATCACAGAGCCCTAAGGGAATTTTTTACCATATTACAGTACTGTTTTGAAAAAAATTGTATGCATGCAAATAAAGGATGAACGGTACTTTTTAAATTTTCTGTTGTTGAATTTATTTTATTTTTCCTGAATTTTTTTATGCCTCAAAATTAATTTTTGTACAAAATTTTTTATTTAATTCAACGGACAGAAAAGAGCAAAAAATTATTCACTTTTATAGAACTAAAGTTTCCTAATGCTAAGCAATTTTTCCTTCAACTTCAGCAAATGTTTTGAATATTTTAAACGACTATTAAACAATTGGTTAAAGGGAAAAATTGGAAAAAAATTGGAATTAAAATAAAGTAAAAAAATAAAATAAAAAATAGAACTAAAAAAATTCAATAAATAAATGATATAAATATGAATAATTTTCTTTGATAGCATTTCCATATTTTTCCATTCGCTTATATCTGACATATTTCATCGCCTCCTGGTTTTTGTGAACTTCCTGAAATGCATTACGTTGATTTGAAGAATTTGCAATAAACATTTGTTCAAAATCCTTTATTTTTATCCTATCTAACTGTGCATTTACTGAGGAATAGAAATTTAGCTGATGGGCACTACACGGTTCTTAATGGTTCTTAATGGCAAGGCTCCATTAAGACATAGAGAACAGGTGCACTATGCCAGATGTGACTATGCCAGAAGTGACTTGCTTTTCTTCTGGAAAAAGGCAAAAATTCAAAACTTCTTTAGGTGCATATTTTCACTTTTTTATGGCTTTCGATTTGATTTTCAACATTCATTTATTTAAAGAAATATTTAAAGAAGAAGGACTATTTTGACTTTTCTGTCTCAAATTTAAACAACAATTATTATGCTTATGCGGCGACTAATTATTTTAATGGTGACTATTGTATTATCAACCGAATGTTGCTTCAAAGATATTAGATCATGTTATAAGCAACTGGAAAGTAAGTTCATTAAATCATCGTAATGAGCGATTTTTTAAAATTTTATTTCTGATTTCTTTATTTCTGTCACTAATGAAAACAGTGTAACTTTCAAATTATTATAAGTAGTTAACGTAGCCATTAATTGGTATAATTGATAACTGGTGATAAAGCGGATAAATATTTCAGGCTTTCTTCCAGAGGAAATGACAGAATTCGTCAAAAACGTATGTTAAATTATCGTTCAAATTATTAGAAAAAGCAATTTTAATTAATTTAGATCGGTGCAAGCCAAATTCAAATTTTTAATTTCCTTTTGTTCACAAATTTTGAAACTCTCTTGTGAAGCTTTTTTTTAAAAAACTTTTTTTTTCTCAAAAAATTATGAAAATCAATCTGAAAGAACAATAACTTTCGTTTATAGAGGCAAAAAAAAACAAAATTAAAAATTTAAATTGTAGTTGGAAGAAGAAGAGCAGGCGATCCTCATAAGATTTTTGCAAAATTTGGTGGATCCTAAATCTCCGGTGACAGTGGACAATTTTATGGGTACTATTGGAACTGCTTCAAAAAAACTCCATGGCAAAATTAAAAATGTTATTTGTCAGTTACAGTGGAAAATTCTCATGTTTGAACCAGAAGCAAAATATTTTTTGCATCAAGTAAGTAATTGTAATTTGTTATTTTATATTTTTTTAATATATTATTTATATATTATTATTTTTATTTTATATATTTTAAATTGAAATTTTGTTATTAAACTAAAAGTGAAATAATTTTTAAATATATAATAATTTAATCTTAAAGTAGAAATTCGCCTCACCAATCTTTATATTTTTATATCAAAAATAGCGAATAATTTATTAATTTTCTCAGAATTTTATAGAAAAGAATTAAATCGCATCATTCTTTCTTGTCGATAAATTTAATATCAAATATTTTATTGTATAGTAATATTTACATTCATTGAGTGAACTACAATCATCATTGTTTTGCAACCTTTTTATGGTTATAAATCAGTTCATAAAAAGATTTATGGCAAATTTATTCCATGCGGATTTGATGAACAAAACAGATGCAATTCCGGGAAACACTTCATTAAGCATTTAAATCGCTAGAAAAACTTCAGGTATTTCATGAAGGAATCGGTTTATTACGAACTGCCAAGAAGAGTAAAAACACCTTAGATAATAAGCGATTCATTGGGATATTCCTTGATGTAACGAATAAACTAACTGAACAGTTCTTCCAATTGAGTGCCAAAAATCAAGAAGCAATTAAAAGCGCCTTTCCTGGATTATTTAAGTTAACACAAGGTTCATCTCATTTCTCGAAAACTTCCTATGAAAATGAATGTTATGCGACAAATAAATGAGGCGATTATTGATATAAAATATAAAAATTAGTTGCTACAAATATGAAGTTACTTTCTAAAATACTAATTTTCTAATAATTTTCTAATAATGATTTTCTAATAATGTTCAAAAAATATTTTAATGTTTTAAATAAGCCGTTACATCTCCAAACTGTTCTAGAATTCTGCAAATTTTGTTACTTCAGAGCTCAAAGAAATACATAGCCGCCTGAAACCTTGGGAAGGAAATTCAATGTTTCGTTGAGACAACAACCAGATGTCCAGAAGAGTCGAATTCCTTGAAATCCAAATAAACGAATGAATGAATTTTGATCAAAATATATAAAATAAATATAAATATTGCTATTATGATGTTTATAAGAATCTAAGACGCTTTAAAGGATGGCGAAGAAATTTTGAGAGCACCCCCATATTCCTCGAAAAAGATTCCTGAAATGCCGCGAAATTCTTGTTCAATTCTTGATCATCCAAAATATTTATGAGACATCCTTAAAATAAAATGAAACATATGCTCATATGTGCTATACATGATTCACAAGATTTATAATTTGTTAACATACGCAGATCATTTTGCTTTACCTAAATATTGGTAGAATCCCAACCGTATCTTTTATCAGAATAGTTATGGTGGCCTCTCTTCACTTCTATCAAAAAATCTGTGGCTAAACGGTCTTATCTTTAACAAGCCGCAAACGAAAAATGAATGATATTAGAGCTTGCTTCATAAATCACGAAAGATTTTTTGGAACAAAAAGATTATACAGAGCAAAATTCGACTTTACAATAGAATCTTTCTTCTTTTATTCTAATAATAACGAAAAATAAATATTAGAACCCAGAACGCACAAAGATTCTGAATCTTTCCATTTATATACTTATAATTAAATTTATAATTCTGGGATGAAAGAAGGGAGAGGGGTGGGGGGGGGGGGGAAGGAGTAAGAAAAAGTTAGTTCGTATATCACAATTATAACTTGATGATTGCGCCTTGGCTCTACAGTCGGATCGTAGGCTTCATCCCATATGTTCCTTCATAATCTTTGCTTATCCCTTTCCATCAAAAAAGTGTATTTCGTTAGTGTTAGTATATATTATACATAAAAGCAAAAACAAAATAGTTGTCATCCTGTCATCCTAGAAAACATTACAGAAAAACGTTTCAAATATACAAGATATATTGGAAAACAATATCTCCATCGGCTTACTCCTTTACTTCATTTACTGGTTGTATTGGCACGAAACAGCTGAAATCACCATCCCCGCGTTTATTAATAGCGCTTCTTTAGTTAGCTTGGAGCATTTCGCTGTGTTGTCGATTTGTTCCCGCTCGTCTTCGACTGCAAACATGCCAATTTTTCGTATTATGAAAATTTTCAAAAATTTTATTCCATTTATAGCCTAAAAAGCCAAACAATCGAAAAATTATGTGCCCATTAAAAAATACACTTATATTAAAATTAAATTTAAATTTCACTATTTTCAAATTTAATCCAAATAAAATTTACTTATCGATTCCTGTTTGACATCGAATTAAAATTCTAGCTTAAATCATAATATAAATTTAATATTAGTATTAATTTTATTTTAAAAGATTGCCTTCTAAATTTCGATCTCTTGCAAAGCGACTTTTTAAATAACAAATGATAAGTAGTCATTCAATTCATTTATGGAAGTGATAAAAGTACTTCTGGCAATAAATCCATGAATCCCCTCAGCAAATCATTGCTGATTATGATAGGAAACTTTAACTGATTAATGAATCAATTTTTTTATCATATTCTATTCACCGAAATTTCTTTATCTACAACAATCCGTTAAATTTGTACTGATAAGCTTCTATTAAATTTCTTGCAATTAAATGTTTGCTTCTTGATGCAGTTACGATAATAAAAGACAAATCTAAAAAACTTTTTTTTACTTATCACTTGCTACAGATTATTATCAAATGATCATTAAAAATTCTATTATTTCATACAATGACAAAAATGGCAAAAATTAAAAATCAACAATGAGAAGCGATAATTTAAATTAAGCAACTTGTGCATAAACTATATAATAATAATTTCGTAAGACAAAAAGAATAAATACATAAAAGATCGAAAAATTATTTTTCCATAATCGTTTAAATTCATTTACAAAACGATAAAGAAAAAATTGCGCAAAATCGCAGAATTTTCCACAACTTGCTAAAATCAGAAAAAAAAAATTACTATACAAAAGCTATACAAAAGAAAAAAACCACAGATACACCAAAGAAAAAAAAATTTTTTAAATTTTAGAATTGCAAGAAATGATGGACTAGAAATTTTTTAAAGATGAAAAATTAGAAAATATATCAAAAATATAAAAGGGATATTGCATATTTTCGATCAAATGTAGAAGTCTAAAAACTCTGATGAAAAACAAATCAGTAGTTAGTATTTTCCTGGAAAGGACGATTTAAAAATAATTATAACATTAGAATGGACAAATCTTGAAAATGCGATGTATGGTATATAATGTCAAAGCTCATAAAAAATTTGATGAGATTCTCTTTCAACAAGTGGTTAACCCGAATTTTAATAAGATATTATTCCAGTGCATTCACATTACTCTTGTGAGAAAAAAGACGCTGAAGAAATTATATCTTGAGATAAATCTAAAAAAAGAAATGGCCAAAAAATTATATAAATGAACATACATATATATATATATAATAAAATATAATAATGTAACTACCAAATCAGACCACGGTATCAATTTCATCCTCTGCCATGTCGCATGATTCTGGTAGCAATATTTCTGGGTCTATAATCTAAAATAATATAAGAATGAACATATATTATTGGGCAATTGCTGCTTTAGTTAATAAACTTTGCCATTGGAAATAAATTGCTATAAAATCTTGCATTTTACTTGCTCATCGTTTTACTTGCCATCTTAAGCTTTTTAGGAAGTCAGACTCAGACAGATTTTACTGAAGGGATACCTCAAGGTCGCCATGTTCTATGAGCAAATGAACTCTTTTGTGGTAGCTTTCGTGTTGTTCCATTGATTTGCGGTCAGCAAAGGCTTTAAGGCAAACCTGAAATATGAAACACAGGATGATTACGAAACTTTAAGAATTTCTTACTCTTACTTTTATATAACTGTCATTTTCTCTTTTCATGAAAATATGAATGAAAAATTAAAAAAAGATAAAATTTATTCACTTTCTAATATATATTACGATGAATAATGAATAAAAAAGAAGCGAAAAAAACCTCGCAGAACAATGGACGCTCTACCCTAGCCATAGGATGCTCCATTTCGAGATGTTCCGAACATTCCAATCTCGACATGAAAACTCCTTTACATAAAGGACAATCAAAGCGCTCAAAAGACAATGCTCGTGCTTGTTCGAACACATCTTCCATACTGAATTGTTGTTCATCAGCAGTTTTCAAAATTTCCGCTAACCTTCGCATCTTAAAATAAAAATAAAAAGTTAAAATAAAAAGTTAATTATAATGAAAAATTTCTTTATAATAATTAAATTCTTTAAATTTTCTTTATATTTTACAGTAATAACTAAATTGATTATAATTAAAACTTTGGAAAATCGAACCTTTTCCGTGATAGGAGCACTTGGCAAAAGTTCACCACGACGAATTTTATCGACCCACATTCGTGCATCTGGTCCTAGTCCAAGTTTTCGTTTACGTGGCCGACTAGGTGGAGTGAAAAATGGTTCACCCGTACCACGTACAATAATGGCATCATCTGGTATATCAGCAGGGGGCCTTCGATTACTAAAAGATTTCTTTCAAAAACTGCTATCTTTACCATGAAATCAAATAAATTTTTACAGTATAAAAAATTCAAAAAACTCGTTTTTTATTAAAATTTATCATATTATATATTATATATATATATAAAGTATATAAAGTAACAATAACAATATCAATATTAACCTTGCAAACGGTTTCCATGCAGCTTCTAATTCTTCTTTCGTTTGTACATGAGTTTTCAAATGTTTTTTGAGATTTCCCTTTAGCCGACACGTTTTACCACAATAAGGACATGAATGAGGAGTAAAACCACTATGAACAGAACGATGCTCGAAGAGATTCGACTTAAAACGAAATGCTTTTCCGCAAACATCGCAACAAAACGGCTTTTGATCCGTATGTATCACCGCATGCTGTTGAAGGCCTGAATTAAATTTCATAATTTATTTATTACGTTTATTTGTTACGCTCATATTCACGCGATTAATGAAAAAATCTAGTATGAAAGAAAATTACCTTTAAAAGAAACAAATATTTTATTGCATATATTACATTGATGCACTGCTCTCGGTGGCACAGACTGTGCAGCCATGTCATCATCGTCGTGAAACTGAAATTTTTCAACTCTAAAATTTCGTTAGATTAAAAAGAATAATTTAATATAGAATGGTATATTATAACGCTGGAAATGAATTAAAATTAAATTAATCAGCTGCTCGCCTAATATATGCTTGGGCAAGAAAAATAAAAATAAAAAGATTTAGGCACATTTAAAGTACGGAATTTCAAGTTGAAGTTGGTTTTGATGCCAAAATATTTTCAAGTTATTATTACAATTATCCTATATTATCACCTCTTACTTCCTCTCCTCTCAGGGCACATGAAATGCAATAATCTTTCACTTTTATTCCTACCGTGTCCATTCTACTTTTTCTATTAATAAATTTCCAGAGGTCGGAAAGTACTCAAATTTTCACCGAAATACAAATAATACCAAATTTAGCTAATTAAAAACGAAAGTAAAAAACATATTGGAAACATATTGCAACGAAAGTAAAAAACACTAACATATTCACTTGCATCGACTAAATCATCGTCAATATGACGCAGTTCTTCGTGTTCTACTTGAGAAGAATCTAACCTCTGATGATAAACAATACCATCTGGAGTGACATGTCCCGTTTCGTTACGATGTATTGGCATTGCCATTATAAAAATATCTTTTCCTTTTTTTCTTTTTTAACGATATATCAGGAACAAAGGTACATAGAACAACTGAAACTTTTTTTAAGTTTCTATTAAACGACAACGTTCTGAAAAGAAAAATATTGAACAAAAGCAAAAATGCAGTGAAAGAGCGATTTAATAGCATCATACCGTATATTTTACGCGAAATATTCCAGAATATGCGATAAAACAAGAAATTATTAAAGAGGCGCGAATTTGTTCAAAAATTTTACGCGAAAATGTACAGCCGTGAACAGCCATGAAATAGTAATGTGAGAGTATGAACATAAATACTCTACAAATTCATGTTTGACTATAGTCAGTGAATTATTAAAATATTAGTTTTCGTCTGAATTCATCTTAGCATGAAACAAGCATGCGTAAAGATCCACTGTAAGGTCAAATTAAGAGAAAAAAAAGGATGAACACCAATAATCCAATAAAGAATTTATCGATTTATTTAGTAGTTCCAGTGATAGAATAATTTTAAGAAGATAAAACTATTTGAAGAAAGGCAATATCAATACCTACTTAAAACTTACGAAATAGTTTACATGAATTTTCACGTATCTTTTCACGCAAGAAAAAACATTCGAGGCGAAAAAACGTGTGAGACACGTGAGATTTCACGTGAAAGCACAAAGCTTCAATAAGTCGAAATAAATCCCAAAAACAACAAAAATTATTCAAAATAAAAGAAAAATAAAAATTTGAAAAAAAATTTTTTTGAACGGAATATGGTACAATACAGTATTGAACTGAAATAAAACAACGCTTAACGCGTGCAAACTACTTATTGTGCCGCCGCCGCTCGCAGGATGTTTCCTAACACGATTTATACCGTACAGCATCGGAATGCAAATTAAAGGAATCTGGCTGGTTGCCAGGACCTTCATGACATCTTTGTTGTAAGCATTTCATCTTGAGACGAAAATATAAATTCGAATTTTTGGCAGATTGCCATGTCCTTTTTTGCTTGTTATTGTTCTTTCGCTATTGTTGTTTTCTTTTTGCTGTTTGTTGTTTGCTGTTTGCTGTATTACTACGTATGTATTTATCTCACGCGTCACTGAACCACTGACCTTCCAAAGACCCTTCTAGCAGCCTCACCGTTACTCGTTAGGTTGGCTCCGCTGGCTGGCTGTGAGTCTGATGCCATCTCGGACAATAATGGAAACTACTCCTTTTTGCACCCTCTAAGTCCATGTGTCGCAGGTCCCTCTATAGATTCTTCCCAGACGGTATCAGTCCAGGTCTTGGTTGGCCCTCCTCGTTTTGACGCCATCCATCATAGGGTAGTTTAGCAAGTATGTGGAGGGTGACGAAGAACTGCTAACTAGCAAAGGCTGTGCGATGGTACTGTTAATGTAAGTGGCTGTGCGATGGTACTGTTAATGTATTTGAACGAAGGTGGATGCGATCATGTGAGGTTTATCCGCTCGGAGAACCTGTAAGATATTTTTACATGAATTATCAAAGAAAAATATCCTTTTTAATATCCTCCGCTCTCATCGGTTATTACTTGCAGTTCTTATCTACTAACCTGTCTTAGTCGAAGTGGCTGATTTTCGGAGACATACCTTCAGCTGGTATTCGTTACAGAGATGTTAATATTTAATCATTTCTTAAAATCTATTTGATTACCCTTCGCTAATCTTTTACTTTGAGGTAATTGAAAGATATTGGTAGGCATTGTTTGTTGCGAGTTGCCATTTTTATATGGGTCTTTTGACTCGGACTTTGAAATGGTCTGTTTCATGGAAGTTATTACCATTTTCAGCGCCACGATAGCTACGACCATCTAGTATGGAACTCTTGCAACGGTGATTGTATTGATCTGGTTGGAGTGTTGGAGTCTGGAGTCCGGGAAGTTCCACGTAATTGGAAGCATCTATTAGCAACAAACAAAAGTTCATTTTTCGATAAGCAAAGACGTTTTCCGTTGACGCACCAGATTCCGATGCCATATTTCTGAAGCCAGTCACGGAGTTTCACTGTGGCCAGAAAATTAAAAGAAAAAAAATGGAAATAATATAATATAATAATAAAATAAAAATATAAAAAATATAAAAATAAACTTAAAGATAAAATTTATTGTAAAAATTAATTCATTCCATTTTTTTTAGTTTTTATTTTAGCCTTATTGCTTTCGCTTTATTCAAATTTTAAAATTTGTGTTTTTAGTTTTTAAATTCTTTTAATTCTTAAATTTAGGAAAGAACTTATTCTTTGTAGAAATTTGAAAATATTTCAGAAATAGTGCAAAAAAGTAACAGAGCAACAGAAATAACCGTTCATGATAAAAGAATGGAAAAAATAAACATGCATGCTTAAACATATTTAGGCTTAGGCCTCTACTTTTGGCACGAGTATGCCTGTCATTAGAGAATTTGGCCTCTCTGGCGAAACGCTTTGATTATCTTAACAGGCAGTGGAGCCAATGTGCCCAGAAATATTCTGCTCCCTTATTTGTTATCTTCTCGCAGATAAAATAAAACTCAAAAAATAAATTTAAATCTCTGCTGCATAAGCGAAAAAGAGAAATAAGGGGGGCAGTACTAGTAGAACGCGATGTCTAAAATTTGTTAAATTATAATATGCCTTGTCCGTTAGTGCTTGGCTTTAAGACTTAGTGGAAAGGAGGAAGGAGAAGTTTTATTTGTGGCTTTTTATATTCATTCATTTTTTTTATCTTGTGGTTTGTTCTTATTTTTCATTCACACTTGTAAATTATTGCCAATTGCTGTTATTCGAGACATTTCTTTTCTTTTGTCTCACCAGTTCCTTATTAATAAGATCGATATATAGGGATAGGATTTTTTTTTAAAGGGTTTTCGCTATTACTGGTCGCTCCACTGGCTTATCGCATTGGGCAATATGCCAAGGAGTCCCTTGGCAATAGAAATAGAAGTGAATCGCCAGCATCACCCAGATTTTTGTACATGTTAACTCCTGCGGGGAATCGAACCTCAGCATGGGCGCTCGCAATTGGACAACAACCCTTTGAGCCATTCTATCCCTATAGAGATAGGATACTGTGTGAAAAATTTTAAGATGCGATTAATACCTTTCAGGTCATAAATTTTAGCTAAAAAATAATACGGGTGATAGAATAGAGAAGAAGCAAGAAAAGTTCATATATTCGGCTTCTTGCCTACATTCTACCACTGTAAATCTCATAATTCAAAATAATTCAGTTTATTGTACTTTATTCATCATAATTTACAATGATTTATATTTTTTTGAGTGGATGAAATCGTAAAAAATGGAAGTCATTGAAAATTAAGGCAATTAAAGGAGATAATAGATAAAGAATAATGCGACAAATTAAAAGTAATATTTTTAGTTTAATTAAATTAATGTTTAGAAACTTGGAAAGATGGAAGAATGCACAACATATTTATTTCAAAATCCGAAGCGAGAAATTCTCTCAGTTTTTGATGTCAATAAATTTTTTTTTTCTAAAGTAATATCATTTTCCTTTTCTATTTTATATATTTATATCTATTTATACTATTTAATATTTATATTTATATCGATAAAATAATATTCTTTGTTATACAATTTTGTTCAAGGCTTATCGAGATTATCTTCAAATGATTACCGAATTAAACGAATCCGTCAAAGGAATTATGACAACTGATGATGTTTTCGTTAGTAATTCGACTATGGCAATGATCGAAATGTTAGAGAAATTTGAAGTAAATTTCTACTGCATTCATAGTAGGATAATTCTATCGTTGGATGTTTAATAATAAGTGGATTTTCATAGTTTATACAAAATCTTATGAAATTTTGTAAAGATTTTTTGGAGTTAATATAAAATTTATAGAACTGGATATCAGAATATCCACCAGCAGATATGGCTGATCAGCGGTTCGGTAATAAGTCGTTCAGAAATTGGTACGAAAGATTATCACAGGTTGCTCTTTTCTTTAGAGCGTATTTATATATAAATCAGCCTCATAATGTCTGTTCAATGATGCAGCAGAATTTTTAGGAGGCTTTTTGTGCTATTGAAGATTTATTGCCTCCGAACAAGAAAGGAGCAGTTGTGGAATTAGTTCCATATCTTTTGGATTCATTTGGCAATTCTATTAGAATTGATTACGGTTCAGGTTCGCTCTTAAATTATAAATATTTTTCTCAGAAATTTTGTTTGATAAATTTTGTTTTTTTGTGAAAGAAAAATGTTGTTTTAATTTTGCTGCAAAACCTGTATTTCTCGATCTAACCATTCGGAATGAAAATAAAATATTTTTTGATTTTCTTTGTTTTCAGGGCATGAAGCTTGTTTTCTGATCTTTCTTCTTTGCTTGCGAAAATTGGGCATATATGGTGTAGATGATAATAAAGCATTAGTATTGCGGATTTTTTTGAAGTATTTCTTACTTTCAACAAATAGCATGTTCGAGAGAATCTTTACTTCAAAGAAATGAATGTTTATTTGATATAATATTTCAGCATTTTTTTCTTAGGTACTTACGCATAGTTCGAAATCTTCAAATGACATATCGAATGGAGCCTGCTGGAAGTCGTGGTGTTCATGCTCTAGATGATTTCCAATTCATACCGTTCTTATGGGGCAGCTCTCAGCTGATCGGTCAGTTTTTATAAATTTATGTTATTTTAATTCTTTTTCATTCCTTGTGAATAAATTTCTCCATTTTTAAATTTATTTTTTTCTAATTTGTAGAAAATTTTTTTTTAAGAGTCCTCACCATTACTGGTTAAAATCGCTCAGCTGGTTTGTCGCACTGGACAAATATGCCAGGGAGTCCCTTGGCCATAGAAATACAGGTGAGTCGCCAGTATCACCCGGACTTTTGGACAGGTTTACTCCTGCGAGGAATACCTCAGTACCGGCTCTCCGAATTGAGCAACAACCCATTCCACCTCATTCTGCGCAAAGTATTTTTCTTTAAATGCCGTTTATTCGGGGAATGTTGCTGAAGTCTAAGAGATTATCATATTTTATATTTCAGGTAATAAACTTATTGTCCCAGATTCGTATTTAAATCAAGAAATAGTTGAAATTTATGCTTCACGATATCTTTTTCTAGACGCCATAAAACATATAAATGAGGTAAAATTATTTTTTCGTAATACTCTATAATATATATATATATATATATGTATGTATATGTGTCATGATAAATTATCACAAAAAATCTCAATAAGAATGAGGTTGTTTTCAAGGGAATTTCGCTTATTATTGAGGTAACAGTAGCATCCTTGAATATGAAAGGTAGAAGTGAAAGAAAGTCAGAAGGTTGTAGCGCGTTATTATTGTTGAAGAAATGATAATACGATAAGAGAGAAGTTCTTCTTTAAGTAAGAAGTAAAATTTCGGTGAGAAAATAATAGGGAATGATGAAGTGCAAATGAAAGAACATCTGAAGAGGAAAAAAGGGAAATGGAAGGAAAAAATTTGCACCAGGTAACATCGAAGACCGCAAATGACGAAATATTCGATTTTTCATTCCTTTAACTTATGTTTGCAATTATCTTTTATTTTAAAGGAGACAAATTTTCATCGTGAAATTCCTTTAATAGCAAATACTTTTCAGACGAAAACAGGTCCATTTCATGAGCATTCTAATCAGTTATGGAACATTAGTGCTGTTCAAAAGTGGGAAAAGGTTAATTCAGGAATGTTTAAGATGTATGAAGCCGAGGTATGCTTTTTAAAATTAAAATAACTTATTATCGCGTGTATGTATTCTCCATTATTCAGATATTTTAATTTTTATTTAGGGGTTCTAAATAATATTCGTTCACCTTCAATACTGAATTCATAAAGAAGGATTTTTGCTGATTTATCATTTGATTTGAATGTTGGAGTGTGGCATCTAGATTACCTCTTATCCAGTTACCGCTTGGAAGTATAGACTGAGATAAAGATAGATTTCCTGCAGCTAGCTGGATGTTATTGTATACACTTTTAATTTTATTTATGTTAAAGGATTTTATTTATTGAGCTATTTCTTTGGACGTTTTTTTTAATAAGTTGTTTAATATTTTGGTTAAAATAAATTTAGAGAAAAATTCAGGTACTTAAGAAATTCCCAGTTATTCAACATTTTGTCTTCGGTTCATTATTTTCAATTGAACAAGTGAAAGTTGTTGGAGCTTGATACGTTTTTTATCTAGTCATTTACAAGCTTATGATGTTTTTTTGGGAAAAAGCCTTATGCATCAATGTTCATTTATATTATATATGCATATTACTGTTAACAATAGAATGACAACTTTATTTTTTCTATATTCATTAAATAAATTTTTTGATGGCTTTTGGGCAGTTCCACATAGTTCATATTGTTGAAAAATCAAAATTTATTCATTTCTATTCTGCATAATTTAATAGTATATTCCGTATTCCGTTAGTGTATTTTAAAATTATATTTAAAATCATTATAATGTAAATCGTTTAAATGGTTGAGAGATTTTCTTTCAACTTGAATGTATAAATCTTTGTTCCGGCTACAGAAAACAGTTTATTTTGGCGAGCTCATTTCGTAAATGGTGGAGCGTTGAAGTCGATTGATGAATTGGTGAGATTCCAGCAAGACCGACCTCGATAAGAAATTTTCATTCGAAGCAATCATTTGCTTGTTTATCGAGTGTTGTTAGAGCTCGGTAAAGTGAATAAAATTTTATTCTAAATTTATGAAATAAATGAATTTAATAAATTTTTGTAAATTTTCAGTAATTTATACTATACAATGCATCGTTTGTTAATTAAAAAGGGGAAACATAGTTACTTATATGTCTTTATTCTTTCCATTTTTTAACTTATTTATTGGATAATTTTAAAAATTTTTTGGTGAAATGCTTATTTTTTTATAGATTATTGGTAGAAAAGATTTATTCCTCATATTTTTTTTCCTTTTCTTCCCTTTTTGTTCAGACAGTTGTTTTAAAATGATAAAATGATAAAAGTAAAATGACGGAATCGATACGTTAATTTCTCTCTTCATTGGCGGAGGATAATAGCTGCAAAATCAAATATCATTCATTTCAAAAAAGTTTTTTGTATTTTTGCCATAGTTGCAATTTAAATTTTAATTATTCGTTCTTAAAACTTTGAATTATTTTTTTTTCGTGAAAGCGTTTAGTCAAATTATCATTCAATTCCACATTTATATCTTATATCAGGAACGTGAATTTTTTTTTAAATAAATTTAGTATAGCAATCGATTAAATTAAATATAACGGATTAATATGAATGGAGATCGGTAAAACAGTGGAATGATGATAACGATTGGCCAATGTGTTTTAATGGTTTGCCTGGAAATCTTAAGCGGCATTTACCGTTACTCGATTAAACTTATGTTGTTCGAAAAGATTTTTACTAACTTTTAATCCCAAACATGGGAAAGTTGTGGAAAATCGCTAAAACAAAAGGATATCATTGAATCAATGAAAATTTTCCATCGTTAACGTTAAAAAGGTGGGATCGACTGCCAGCAATTTTCTTGAATTTCATTCTGTGTATTACATCAGTGAAAAGTACCAAGTGAGTGGATTATCCATATTAACAAAATATCAACTAAAAAATTTTAAAAATTTAAAATTGAGTGTGAGCTAATGAAAGTTCTCTTTCTCCATTTTTCTCTGAATTTCCTAAATTAAAATCTCCCATTTTGAAACAATTTTTTCGATCGTCTTTAGCTAATTTTAGGCGTAAAGATTTAAAGCAATCACTTTTTTCGCACATTGTACCCAGTGTATTGTGAAATAAGGGGAAACTACTATGTTATGCTCAAGTAATAAGTTCAGCCAATTCTCCTTCTAGAAATTGGATTCAAGGAACTATTGCATTTATAGAAAAAGCTTTTTTTGGAAGCCATTCATGGAAAAAAATTCTTGGTGCTACTTTCAAAAATAAAACAAGAAAAATTTTACTGAAAATATTTATCATTGATAAACCACAAATATGGGCAAATATGGGTAATCTTAAAAAAACCTTTAAAGTGATGCGAACTGGTTTCATTTCCAGTTCTAGGATTCGTACTATTTTCGATTAATTTTCTGGATTTTTTATTTATTTCCAGTGGAAAATTTCCTTGATTTCCCATTTTTAATGCAATTTTTTGTTGAAAGAATTCATCCAAATTGCTCCATTATCTTTACAGTTTTCATTGAATAATTTTTTGATATGAATTCGGTTTCTCATTGAGCGCGATAAGATTTCTTAGCGATAATAAAAAACTTTCTGCTTTCAAGTCGTCGACGACTTCCAGATGAATCACCCTTGCTGAAAGGTAAGTAAATAAGGCGATCCTATTTTTTGTAATCATCTTGGTTTATCAAAATAGGCCCGTCAAATCCACTCGAATAAGTGAAAAAGGGACACTCCGATTTATTCATATTTCTGGAAATTTATTCATTGTTGGTAATTAAAATGCTTAGCTCTCCATCTTTTACAGAATATGCTTTCATTGTTGATAATTTTTCCAGTGGTTGTTTGAGTGCATTTCGGTATCCAATAAGTTTCGATTATGGAGCATACTGTTGTGTCAATCGATGCACGTAACAGTTGTTGGTGTTTATCCACAATTAATTTGGTTAATCGATGACTTCCAGGAAAGAAGATCAGTGGTTGTTCGAATTTTCCTTTTATCACCCACAAATCGTTTTCAATTGTAGGCCAAATTTATGGATATCTTCCTTTACAACCTTTCTGAGCTTATTGTACTTATTGTACTTCTTGTGCAGTTATTGGACTTGTTGAATTCTCCTGATTCCAATAATTCCAGCAGAACTGCTTTTTAATTTTTTCTTGTTTTCTTCCAATTCTTCAAATTGTAACTTCAACTACATTTCTTCCATTATCAACCTGGTCTTCAATCTACTTGCCTCACTGACTGATTCTTGGACAGATGGATTGTCAAAAAATTTCTCGTATGCTTTTTCCCCTTTTGAGTTCCCAACCAGTGTCCATTGTTTGTCGAGCTGATTTAAGCTCAGCTCTATCATTCATTTGTCTTCTCGTATTTATTTCAAATCCCTTTGATACACTTCTCTAGGTTGGCTCCTAAATAATTCATCGTATTTTCCATCATTTCATAGCACTTTATGAACTTTTGCAACTTCCATATTTTATATAAAACTATTAACTGTTAGTGTATCTTAAATTTGTAGACATTTTCACAAGTTTGACAATTTTTTAATAAAGTGTTGTGCGCAGTCGTTTGAGAGTATAATAAAAATAAAAGTGCGAAATAGCGCAAACCTTTTTAATCGAATACGTTATCCTCGTTATTCGTTCCCCGGATCAACCTCCATGTAATAAAAAAATTTCAATCTACTCTATGATTCTAATTACTTTTATATTGAATCGTTAGTCCTTTTTTCGTTATAGTATCGTAATTATCGTTCAAAATGTACCTCAAACTTGGGTAATTGAATCTTTATAATATAACACAATAAGAATAAAATTAGTCGATGATATATTACATTATGATACGTTACAACGACATAAACAAAAAATTAAATTAAAGAAATAACATTAAATATACTAATAAAATTGTTAGCCTAACCTCAATCCACCAATCACCTACCAATAAAATCAAATTAAAATCATGCCCAAACAGGAGATGAATCGAATCAAATCGAATAAAACCGCGGCCGCAGTCACGCTTTGATTGGTCCTCAATCAATTTATCGATTCTGCTCATTTTTGAGCACAGTGTTGAAGATCGACCTCCGATAAGCAGGCGACATCCACACGATATTTAGGAAGAGCTATCGTATGGTTTGCGACGTCCATAAGCCTTCTGACGTTTTACATTGCTAACACTTCGCAGTATACACGGAGAGCTCTTGATAGGCTTTGAATAATTGCCCTGGCTTGCGAGCATGTTTTATTTACAAGCCTTGGAATCGTTTTAGACGTGGCAAAAGCATGACCTTTTCACCATAAAGACACCTGGTTTTTTCATATGACAGGTTTACTCCTGTCAAAAGCAAGCGTAAAGTAGAAAATTTTTTAAAAATTCAAGAATTAAAAAAGCTAGCGACTAATTTTTAAAGAATGAATTCTTATTAAATTTCTATTTAAATGTTTTTTTGCGCAGTAGATTTATTTATATGAAAAAATTTATGACATTGTTCATGTGCTCACATTGACAATACGGAAGGTATTAACAAAATGCCGGATGAAAGTACCATATTATCTATTGTTATGAAATATCGTCAAATCGATATAAAATTCAAGAATTATGATGAAAAACTAAACCAACGTCAGAAGAATAACACAAATCATAAGGAATTATGATATAATCGCATGCTGAAAGGACATGCTATTTGACTTCATGCATAAAGTGGGACTTTAAGTAATCCCATAGATAGGACTATTCAATTCTTTTTTAAAAGTGTGGAACGAACTATATCGTTGGGCAGTTTATGCCAATAATCAATAGTACAAACGAAAAGGCCATGAATTCTTTTATAATTTTAGCCTATTAGATCCCGTTAGCCTATTAGATCCCGTCTTCTGGTAATATAATAATATAATAAAATTTTTCGTCGTAAATTTTAAAAAAACTAATAGAAAATTGATTGAAAATTGATTGCCACTAATGGTAAATAAATAATTTGCATAAAATTATTGTCGCTCAACAATAATCCTTATTGCCATAAATTTAAATAATTTAATTTGGCTTGTTGGACATTTATCTGGTCCAACAAACCAGTCGAGCATGTCTAATAAGAAATGGTAAACTTAGAAAAAAGTTGCTGAAAAATATCCTTAAACTATACTAACCCGTTAAAAGAATCATTTTAAAGATAAGCAATGCAAATTTAATTTATTTATTGAAAACCAGCCAAGCAGGGCGCAAACGCCATGTGCTTGTATAATAAAGTTAAAATAGCAAATAATAAGAATTAATGATAAATAACAAAAAAAATAATATTAAAATAAAATAAACAATTTAAAGAGGAAATAAAGAGGATATTGCAAAATAATAAAATATAGTACAATTCGAACTAATTATAATCGGATGGTAAAAATCGCGATTTCACACTTCCTGCATAATGTAAATTTTTTAAATAATATCACAAATGATATTATCTAATCTTTTTTTAAAGATAGCTAGAGATGGCGCACAATGCTATATCGTTCGATAGT